AACGGCTGTCTTTGTTTTGGTCTCTTTAACCCGTCCAATGCCAGATTAGCCTCACTCTAACAAAATTAACTCGAGATGAGGGAGTGTTTTCACATCCCAATGTTGACAGGTATGTCCCACACACACCTGCATTCCGCTGATGTTTGAAGGGAAGGTGCATGCATGTTTCACCGGATCCGACACCTCATATTTGGTATTGAGTCGTGTCGACGTCAATACGAAGAGGCAAAAGATCCGGACAAATGACGAATCATTTAAACGACTCTGAGTCGACTCTTTTATTTAAAAAAATCTACGTTTTTAAACACGCTACTTTTGGATAAATGCTGTCAAGTTTTAAAACTGAAGTTTGAAGGAGATACAAATCACTAAATTCAAGGTTTTACTCATGTTTTACAGCCGGAACTGTAAGGGGGTTACTGTTAAGTCAGTCGTAAAATATATGTTAATAAAGAATTGTATTAGTCTCTTGGCTGTAGCTTGAGTTTAAAGATTAATGAGGTCTGGGGGTTGTTAAATATTGGACTGTAGCCTATTGATAGCTCCAAATATATGTGTAGCTTCGCTTTAATGCAGCAATATTCATATATTTGCTGTAACAGTGTTCTGGTGAATGATCATTGTGAATATCTGGCATCCCAAACACTGGATGTGTCTCCATCAGTCAGTGTTGTTTGTGTGAGTTCAGGCACTGGCAGAGACAATAATGACTGTATTTCTGCCAACAAAAACACAGTCGTGGAGCGAATCCATTCTTGTCAAGGTTAATCCAAACCAGCAAATAGCAGAGAAGTTGTTTTTAAGTAAATGCCTTGTTATTTCTTATGTTTTTAATTGCATATTTAATTGTAGTCTGGAAATCATCATGCAGTCGTACATATCATCATATCTGACCAGTAGAAACACAGATGTTTTGCTGATCCCTGTGCAGTTTTTAATTTCAGACGAATATTTTGGATTCAGTGTGTAGTAAACTATAGTCTTCAGTTCAATCCACTTCCTTCAATTCAAGTAAATGATCTGAGTTTAACAACGACTCTAAAATCAGTCATCTAAACAGAAACTGTAGCATCAACCCAGTTTCCAGCGTTGCACGTTTTGCATATCTATATAGTTTAACACCCATTTCAGATCCTGGACTCTCTGCATTTCAGTTCAGAATAAAACATTAGTCTCATAACTTAATAATTTAGGTTACTCTCATACTCTCGTAACTTAATTATTTAGGTTTTTATATGCAATGTCAGTGCATTCATGAGCTGTGAGTGCCAGAAATTAAAAAGACAGGACATTTTGAAACTATTAACTAACAAACTCTCATTTGTGCTCTCCTGATTTCATTTGATCGTCATACTGGTCTCCTCAAAAGGTTATTTCAGATATCTTTTTGTGGAAAATTTAAGCTTTTCGTCTAAAATATTCTATAAAATGTTATAATTATAAGTGATAACAAGGTTTGCAGTACCCGATATCTATCATACACATATCTACAGTGCATCTGGAAAGAGTTGACAGCGCTTCACCTTTTCCTCATTTCTTTATGTAACAGTCTTATTCCAAAATAGATAAACTGATTGATTTCCTCAACATTCTACACACAATCCCCCATAATGACAATGTGGAAAAAGAGTTTTGGAAATTGTTGCAGATTAATAAAAAATAGAAAGCTGTAAAATCAGATGTACATCAGTGTTCACAGGCTCTGGCGTGAAGCTCTAAATTGAGCTCAGGTGCTTTCTGTTTCCACAGCTGGCATTATGTGATGTTAGCTTGCTGTCTGAATGTTGGCCAGAGCAGGCTGCAGTGTGGACATCTCTGTGAAGCCATACAGTCTGTAGGGTCATTTAACTCCTCTTGAAATCATATTGTGTTAATTATTTCCAGATGCCTGAGTCTGACTGTGTTAGCGGAGCCTGTTGATGGCCTCTGTGCTCAATCCACGTCCGTTATATTCACATTTCCCCCATTTTCATTTCCGGAGACCATGTGGCTAATTAAATATCACATCATTTAGTGTGACCTTGCTTTCAGACTGCAGTGCATGCTGGGAGTCTCCTGTGGACAGATTAAAGAGTCTGAAGGAGATCCAGAAGCACACATGAGCACTTACACTAATGAAGGATAGTAATGCACACACTGCACACATGCTGTACTTACTTAGAGTATTTCTCTTGTTTCTAATCAAAATATCTACAAATCCTTAAATCAACAAGCATTTCCTAGATAAGGAAGATTTTTTGTGTTGTTTTCAGAAATAATAAGTCAAAATAAAGTGAGTTTCTCCTTAAAACAAGCAAAATAATATAGTTTTTTGTTTTGGTGTACGATTATTTCACTCTATTCGCAGATTTTTGTCTGGTTTTAAGAAACATCTCAATTTAAAGATCTAGGCGCAAAGTCTAAAGCTCATTGTGCAAAAGCATTAAGGCCGTGTCTGAATGCACTTTTGCTATTTTAAGGATGGACAAATACGCTCTGCGCCCCGGCGCATGGTCTAAAGCATCCTTTCCAATGCACATGACAAGCGACAGACCGGAAGTCATTCATTTCCAATGGGGAGTAGTCCGGGAGCTGTGTGTCATCTCCGTATGTGGAAAATTTTGATCTGATTTTGAGCTGCGGATCCGCTGAAATATTTGAGTACTACTGCGACTACTCCGTATGCGAGCTGCTGACCGGATGTGATGTATTCCAATGTTGTTCAAGCTGGTCCGTGTGCGCGAGATGAGAAATAGGACTTTATTTGGTTATTTTTTTTAATCAGAAAAAAGTTTATTTTAAAAGAAAAACATTTCTATTCATAAATGTAAGTAATAAAAATATATATTTTATGTTGTCTCCACATTCCCTCCAATATTTTTAGCGGTCTGAGTTTCTAGTATTCATTCATTCAACCACGGAGGATTGCTTTTGCACTTCTTTATTTCGGACACTGCGAGAACAGCTTCTCTCCCATGGTGCACGTCAGAACTGAAAATTCCGTGCGACTGCCACAGGGAGGCGTATTCCAACAGTGGTGTCCCCATGGTGCATTTACTATTTACATGACGACTTTATAAGTGTAAAAGCTGAACACTTCACTAGTGAGAAAACAGTTCAACAGAGCATCTGCAGCGCGAGGATAAAGAACGAGCCTCCTCCATTCAGCCTCTTTACTTTACTCCTTCACTTTACTCCTTTACTTTGGTGGAGTGAGGAAACGGTGGAAACTCACTCCACTGAACACATCCATTAACCCACATATTTCATTTCCTTTGTTAAGCTCAAAGATTTGCTTCAGAACTGTATCTAAATTCAGCTCTAATCTCCAGCGGAGGAATAAATGAACAATAATAATGAAGTGTGTATTGGCCGTAGTGTATGAGTGTGTGTGTATGGGTGTTTTCCAGTACTAGAAGGGCATCCGCTGTGTAAAACATATGCTGGAATAGTTGGTGGTTCATTCCGCTGTGGTGACTTCTGAAATAGAGACTAAGCTGTAGGAAATTGAATGAATGAATGATGGCATTATAAGTTTGGTTGTTGATTGTGTTCTCCACAATCTTGTGCTTCTCCAGTGTTCTCCAGTTGGCAGGGCTCGTCTTGCTTGTTTTCCACTTGACTTGCTCAGCGTGTGATTATTCCTGTCTCTGCTTATCTGGAGTAATGTGAACTTCTGCTGAATTATGCAGCTGTCAGAGACAACAAACACAACAAGCTCATCATATTTGCATTAGCAGATGCGCGGGCTAAATATGGAGTCAGCGGGTTACACACTAATGTCAATCATCATGCTAATACATTACAGATAACACTGTATACTGTTAACAGAAAAAACAGCAACAACTATTATATTATCTATCTATCTATCTATCTATCTATCTATCTATCTATCTATCTATCTATCTATCTATCTATCTGTCTGTCTGTCTGTCTGTCTGTCTGTCTGTCTGTCTGTCTGTCTATCTATCTATCATCATCTATCTATCTGTCTGTCTGTCTGTCTGTCTATCTATCTATCTATCTATCTATCTATCTGTCTGTCTGTCTGTCTGTCTGTCTGTCTGTCTGTCTGTCTGTCTGTCTGTCTGTCTGTCTGTCTGTCTGTCTGTCTGTCTATCTATCTATCATCATCTATCTGTCTGTCTGTCTGTCTGTCTGTCTGTCTGTCTATCTATCTATCTATCTATCTATCTATCTATCTATCTATCTATCTATCTATCTATCTATCTATCTATATATATATCTATCTATCTATCATCATCTATCTATCTATCTATCTATCTATCTATCTATCTATCTATCTATCTATCTATCTATCTATCTATCTATCTATCTATCTATCTATCTATCTATCTATCTATCTATCTATCTATCTATCTATCTATCTATCTATCTATCTATCTATCTATCTATCTATCTATCTATCTATCTATCTATCATCTATCTATCTATCTATCTATCTATCTATCTATCTATCTATCTATCTATCTATCTATCTATCTATCATCTGTCTGTCTATCTATCTATCTATCTATCTATCTATCTATCTATCTATCTATCTCTCTATCTATCTATCTATCTATCTATCTATCTATCTATCTATCATCTATCTATCTATCTATCTATCATCTATCTATCTATCTATCTATCTATATCTATCTATCTATCTATCTATCTATCTATCTATCTATCTATCTATCTATCTATCTATCTATCTATCTATCTATCTATCTATCTATCTATCTATCATCTATCTATCTATCTATCTATCTATCTATCTATCTATCTATCTATCTATCTATCTATCTGTCTTTTTGTTTGTCTGTCTGTCCGTCTAGCTATCTACCTGTCGTTCATTGAAAAGTGTAGAAGCCCGCTAAGATTAAGACGGGGGTGTAGTGTGGGAGGAAGAAGAGGTGAAGTGGCCAGCTACATTTGGGCTAAGCCCCGGATGTTTATAATGCTGTATAATGCTGTATAATGCCCTGATCATGAGTGTGTGTCTTCTCTTTCTTCAGCTGGCAGCACATATGTGTTTGGCAGGCAGGGTGGTGTGATCACGTACTCGTGGCCTCCTCATGACCGTCCCAGCACGCGCGTGGACCGGCTGGCTCTGGGCTTCATCACGCTGATGGAGGACGCCACACTGGTGCGAGTGGACAGCTCCGCCGGGCTGGGGGACTACCTCAAACTGCACATCGTAAGTTCTCTATCATTGATCTTACTCTATTTCTTTAAAGAAAAGAGCAACTACTTACTATGCCTTAAACACAATTATAAACACAACGAGTCTCTTTTTAATATTTCCTGATGTTCAAATAGGATCCAAATCTCAGAGATTTTGAGGCCCACAGCAACGTGATGTAGGAGTGTGGTTTTCCCCACCCACCAAATTGATTGACAGGCGCATATTAACATATCTCCATAGTCACACTTATAAACATGTCCACAGAACAGGATTTGCAAAGAAACTAGGATGAAAAGATCTGTTCAGCTCCCTGTGATCAGCTGCGGCTCAATAATACTCATTAGCATTTAAAGGCACAGGCTACAAAAACAGCTGCGCTTTCCTCTCACCCCACAATGGGCATATCCTGCAGGGTATAATAAATAAACTGATGGCTATTTTGAGCTGAAACTTTACAGACTCGTTCTGAAGGCACCACAGACTTGTAAAATATTGTAAAAGGGGTAAAACAGGAGCTCTTTAAATATAATTAGCATATTATTTATATATGTTCCAGACATTGAAATACACATAAATACTACAACTATTTATAGTTTATAAAGTACACTGATGCTGCCTGCAGAAATATTGATCATCAACATAATCAATCTGACAACATGCTGCAATCACATTATACAGTATATTCATTGTGCACACATTTTACGCTGTGTGTAGCTGTTTTTTGCACATACGTGATGGAATATCAGGGATTTTGGTTTGTCATTCTACATTTTACTTCCCGTTTCTGTTCTGTACAGTGTTTTTTATCACAGTGTTTCACACGCTTGTCTATTGTTATGGTTAGGCTATTTTTTACATCCATTTTATTCTTTTCCTCTTGTCAGCCAGCAATCAAATACAATCACCAGGCTGGGAAAATACTGTCTGTGGCTGTGTCTGCTCAACCAGTCCCTCCTGGAATTTGTACGAAAATGTTCTAATTATTTTGGCCTAAAATGACAGATTTTGCTTTGCCTTCCTCCAAAATCTGCAGTGATATTTGTGGCATTTCTTGTGTTGTAATGTGGCTAAATATGCAGTGCAAGAGTCTAAATCAAATGTGCGGCAATTACAAAGCTATCAGTATTTTAGGGAGGGGCTATCAGCCTCTTAGGGCGGGGCTATCTGTCCTTTAGGGTTGGGCTATCAGCCTTTTAGGGTGGGGCTATCTGTCCTTTAGGGTTGGGCTATCAGCCTTTTAGGGTGGGGCTATTTGTCCTTTAGGGTTGGGCTGTCAGCCTTTTAGGGTGGGGCTATCTGTCCTTTAGGGTTGGGCTGTCAGCCTTTTAGGGTGGGGCTATCTGTCCTTTAGGGTTGGGCTAACAGCCCTTTAGGGTGGGGCTATCTGTCCTTTAGGTTAGTGCTATAATTTTTTTAGGACTTGGTCATCAGTCCTTTAGGACAGTGCTATCAGTCATTTAGGGTGGGACTATCATTCTTTTAGGGAGGGGCCATCAGTTTTTTAGAACGGGAGTATCAGTCCTTTAGGGCGGAGCTATTAAACTTTTTGGGAAGGGCTATCACTACTTTAGGCGGAGCTATCAGTCCTTTAGGGCAGTGCTATCTGTCCTTTAGGGTGGGGCTATCAGTCTTTTAGGGAGAAGCTATCTGTTATTTAGGAAGGGGCTTTCAGTCTTTTAGAACAGGGCTATCAGTCCTTTAGGGCAGAGCTATAAGTCATTTTGGGCGGAGCTATTAGTTCTTTAGGGTGGAGCTATGAGTTCTTTAGGGCGGAGCTATGAGTCATTTAAGGCATAGCTATCAGTTCTTTAGGGTGGAGTTATCAGTCATTTAGGGCAGAGCTATCAGTCCTTTAAGGCGGAGCTATCAGTCCTTTAGGGCGGGGCTATCAGTCATTTGGGGCAGGGCTATCAGTCCTTTAGGGAGGGGCTATTAAACATTTAGGGTGGTGCTATCAGCCCTTTTGGGAGGGGCTATTAAACATTTAGGGTAGTTCTATCAGTCCTTTAGGCCGGGGCTATTAGTCATTTGGGGCCGGGCTATCAGTCCTTTAGGGAGGGGCTATTAAACATTTAGGGTAGTTCTATCAGTCCTTTAGGGCAGGGCTGTCAATCCTTTAGGGTGGAGCTATCACGTTTAGGGTGGTGCTATCAGTACTTTAGGGCGGGGCTATCAGGTTGTGTTTAGTGGCCGCGCTTTTGTTTATTCGTCAATCTGCCTTAATTTTGTCAGCAACACCAACAATCAAATCAGTTTACATCTGACAGAATCCTTCACTGTCCTTAATTTTTGTCTTATTTTGGGACTTGTGTTTATTCAAGGCGACTTTAAGAGCTTTAATACACAAACCGGAATTAATTGGTTTATTTTGTTTGAAATCATGTAAACCTGTTTGAACAAATTCTGACCTAATTGGCATCAGTGTGAATGCGAGGTGAAAGGTGTCTGTGTCCTGATAATGATGAGCATCCGTCAGTGTGTTGTGGGTGATGATCCTCGCTGCTGCTGAGATTGTGCTCTTTTGTTAGTGTCTGGAAGACGAGGTTTTCTCTCTGCTAGATTGAGTTGCAGGTGATGTGATTTCACCCATGCTGAGATGTCCTCCAGGCAGTCGGAGATCTGTATGGGGTTCCATGACTGAAATAAACTGTAAAGTTGTGTGTCACCAGCATAGATATGTTTCTGTAAGGATGTGCATCTCAGAACTGTGACCGATACCATACGCATCTCGATGCACAGGCTACTAGAGCTGTGCAATATGACCATATACACCTCTACATATGGAAAAAATAAAGCATCTGTCGTTTCATATTGTGCTCTGTCATTTATTTCATGAGGTCACAAAATGCATCATTTACTGTAATATTTTTAATAATTTGTATGAGCACCATAATACATGACATTACAGGGACGCAGACAGAAACGTGAAGAACAGCATGATGGGAAATTGTAATCTTTAAAGCACAATGTTTACACTTTGCATTTTATTTAGTGATATTTTTGTGTTTATGATGGACCTGTAATCATTCGTTTTTGAGAAGTGTTTTGTATATAGTTAACATACATGTTATATTTCTGCATTTTTAATCAAACATTTATCAGTCCTTTTGGGCGGGGCTATCAGTCCTTTGCTTCAGGGCTATTATTCATTAAGAATGGAGCTATAAGCCAACTTGGGCGGAGCTATCAGTCATTTAGGGCGGATCTAAAAGTCCTTTAGGGCAGAGCTATCAGTCATTTAGGGCGGAGCTATCAGTCCTTTAGGGCAGAGCTATCAGTCCTTTAGGGCGGAGCTATCAGTCATATAGGGCAGAGCTATCAGTCCTTTAGGGCGGAGCTATCAGTCATTTAGGGTGGAGCTATCAGTCCTTTAGGGCGGAGCTATCAGTCATTTAGGGCAGAGCTATCAGTCCTTTAGGGCGGAGCTATCAGTCATTTAGGGCGGAGCTATCAGTCATTTAGGGCAGAACTATCAGTCCTTTAGGGCGGATCTATAAGTCCTTTAGGGCAGAGCTATCAGTCCTTTAGGGCGGAGCTATCAGTCCTTTAGGGCAGAGCTATCAGTCCTTTAGGGCGGAGCTATCAGTCCTTTAGGGCGGAGCTATCAGTCATTTAGGGCAGAGCTATCAGTCCTTTAGGGCGGAGCTATCAGTCCTTTAGGGCAGAGCTATCAGTCCTTTAGGGCAGAGCTATCAGTCGTTTAGGGCGGATCTATAAGTCATTTAGGGCAGAGCTATAAGTCCTTTAGGGGGGCTACCAGTTCTTCAGAGCTGGGCTAACAGTCATTTAGGATGGAGCTATAAGCCATTTAGGGCGTGGCTATCAGTCCTTTAGGGCAGTGTTATCAGTCATTCAGGGCAGAGCTATTAGTTTTTTAGGGCAAGGCTATCAGTTATTTAGGGCAGGGCAATCAGTACTTTAGGGCGGGGCTATCAGTTATTTAGAGCGTAGCTATCTGTACTTTAGGGCGGGGCCATCAGTTATTTAGGGCAGAGCTATCAGTACTTTAGGGCGGGGCTTTCAGTTATTTAGGACAGAGCTATCAGTACTTTAGGGCGGGGCTATTAGTTATTTAGGGCAGAATTATCAGTACTTTAGGGCGGGGTCATCAGTTGTTTAGGGCAGAGCTATTAATACTTTAGGGTGGGGCTATTAGTTATTTAGTGCAGGGCTATTAGTACTTTATGGTGGGAAGTCAGAGGCAGATTTGTGCTGTTGTTTGTGGAGTGTAGAGCTGAGCTGAGCTGAGCTGAGCTGTGATTCTGGAGCAGATCATTCATCTGTGTGGACATCGTCCTTCAGGCCATCGCTCAGCTCAGCCGCTGTGTTTGAGTGGAATAAAGATGGTGAAGTGTGCTGGAAACGATTCAGAGCGGAGGATTCAGCTGGAGATCTTTGTGATTGTTCAGCAAGAGTGATAGAAATCATAATTGTGTCCGTCTGGGGTCAGACTCAGAGCTCTGCAGGTGAAGCGGCAGACACTGTAGTCTGCAGAATACCTGAAATAAAGCGCAATATTTGCTCCAAGTCAAAACAGCAGGGTACAGAGAGAACAAAAACCTTTTAAAGATGCCATGGGTAATTTTTACATTTATTTCCTAACATTTAAAAGCAATTAGAAAGGCATTGCTTATTATGAACTAATGCAGTATATCAGTTATCTTATTACAGTAAAAACAAAAACAATCCCATTTATAACACAATGGAGATCAATGTCCAATTCACAAGTCAAGCTTTGCATTGATGCATCTTGTGCATTGTATTCTATCTGTCAAGTGACTGTATTTACATTTGAAAAAAGCTGAATCATTTACAACATTTAATTGAAACATTTAATTTCAGTTTGCTATCAGTTATTTAGGGCGGGGCTATCAGTTCTTTAGGGCGGGGCTATCAGTTCTTTAGGATGGGGCTATCAGTCCTTTAGGGCGGGACTATAAATGGTTTAGGGCGGGGCTATCTGTTATTTAGGGTTGGTCTATCTGTTCTTTAGGACGGGGCTTTCAGTCCTTTAGGGCGGGACTATCTCTTCTTTAGGATGGGGCTATCAGTCCTTTAGGGCGGGGCTATCTGTTCTTTAGGGTGCGGCTATCACTCCTTTAGGATGGGGCTATCTGTTCTTTAGGGCAGGGCTATTGTTCCTTTAGGGTGGGGCTAGCTAGCGATCAAAAATGTTTCAGAAGGTCAATCTGAAAATATAACTTTTTTGTTGTTCAGCAATAAAATAAACAAATGAAAAATGTTATGTTAGATTAGAAATGATGATCTCTGTTAGAGGCATTTGCCCCAATCACCTCCCCATTATTCCCACTCTCTTCTCAGATGGGATGGCAATGGACCAAATTAAAAGTACCATCGGCCAACGGGCCCTAGTTTTGGTCATCTCTGATTTAAACATCGAATTAACTCCAGATGCTTTCAGCATTCTTCAAAATATCTTCTTTTGTGTTCATCAGAAAAAATAGGAACTCATAAAAGGTTTGGAACAAGTAAAGGGTCATTTTCAGTTTAGTGTGAACAATCCCTTTCAGACTATCATGACCAGAGCATTTGATTAGTCAGAAGAATAGATGAGAAACTAAAGTATGAACTGATGAATGAATTATCAATCCATTTAGGTGAGAGTAAGAAATTGAACTGAAGCTAAGCAGGACTGCGCCCGGTCATTAGCTGGATGGGAGACCACATGGGAAAGCTAGGTTGCTGCTATTAGTTGTGTTATTGAGGCCAGCAGGGGGCGCCCAACCTGTGGTCTGTGTGGGTCCTAATGCCCTAGTATAGTGACGGGACTCTATACTGTCAGTGAGCGCCGTCTTTCAGATGAAATGCCAAATTTGCCCACTGGCCTCCTAACCATTCCCATATCAAAATTGGCTTCATCACTCTGTCTCCTCTCCACCAATCACCAATCTTTTTTAAATTAAACATTTAGTGTGAACTACCCCTTAAACTTTCAGACTACTTCGTGAGCAGATCATCAGTGTTACAGCCTGCATGGGCTCTGTGTCGTGTGTTTGTGTGTTTTTTCCAGAGCGTGTGTTTATTCTCGCTGTGGATCCTCTGGGAAGTCTGTCGCACGCGAATCCCAGCGCTTCAATTAAAACCCCTGCCCATTGACAAGAACTCAGAGAGATCACATTACACGGCTAATTTAAACCTGCTGCTGCGCTCAACACACACACACACACACACACACACAGTCTGGCACGCGATGCACAGTTCACTGGAGACTCAGGACACACTCATTATGTCATCATGCATACAGCTGTTATGAAGCATCTCACCTCCTCATCACTGTTTCCATAGTAACAGCTCTGTCGCCAGTACTGCGGTGTGTGTTTCACCTGGGCTGTACACCTGTATGTGCACACACACACATCATCGTCATGCATTGACCTGCAGCTGCAGTCTGGGAGATCTCGTCTAGCGTTTGCAGGCTGAGGATGAGTCTGGTAGAGTCAGACTGCAGATATGATCATGAGCTGTGCGTGTTTGAGGTGAATGAGGGTGGACTGAGCCGAGTGTCCTGCGTTCTTCACCTGTTATGCTGACGTCTCCATCCACAGGTGTGAGTTAGACTTGTGTGTAAAAGTGCAGGATTGGATTAAAAAAAGATTCCATCCAATGAGCAAAGAAGAACATCATCGTGACTTCCTGATGAACTGGAGTGTGGAAAAACTGTTAGCGGTAATCAGACTGGACCTGGAGCAGAAGCTGATGAACTCCAGCAGAAGCACAGAAAACAAAGCCAGTGCTGATGCTGTACAGTGCAGAGATCAACACGGCCTGTGTTCTAAGAGCTCTATCATACACCCAGTGCAATAAGCTGCAAGACGGGTTTGGCGTTATTTGTTGCTATTTTCAGACCAGCTCAACCCTAATTTTCACATTTTGCTCCAAGTTTAAATAGTAAATTCATTTGCATCACTTTGTGCACTCATGGTCTATAAATGAGGTGTGTTAAGGCGCATTGTTGGAGCATTGCTATTGTGAGGAACTGAAATAGACCGCACCATTGACCAACTAAAAGCTGCTCCAAAGTCCAGCAGAGCGTGTTAGTTAAGTGCCTTGCTGACACACTGCTAAATACACACAGGATATCTTTACAGATTAACACAATTAAAGGATTAAAATCATCCAGAAATGATGATTTTCTCCATCAATATAAACAGCACTGCCTCCATGCCTTCTTCACCTCGGGGGGCTTCTTCAGTTTATTCAGGACCATCTGCATCTGAATAATGTGATTATTATTAGCAGTATTATTGATTATCTGCAGATTTATATTTGTTTTAACAAACACAAGTGTAGATGTGTCTAGCTGTGGGGTTTTGGAGACGTCTGCATCAGCATATGTGGATAAGAACAGGACGTGTGTTTGGATATAACTCAGTTTTCTGAGCACACTTCATTATTATTGTTCATTTATACCTTTGCTGGAGATTAGAGCTGAATTTAGAAATAGTTTTGAGGCAAATCTTTGCTCTTAACAAAGGAAATTAAACATGTGGGCTAATGGATGTGTTCAGTGGAGTGAGTTTCCACCGTTTCCTCACTCCACCAAAGTAAAGGAGTAAAGTGAAGGAGTAAAGTGAAGAGGCTGAATGGAGGAGGCTCGTTCTTTATACTCACGCTGCAGATGCTCTGTTGAACTGTGTTCTCTCTAGTTAAGTGTTCAGTTTTTACACATATAAAGTCGTCATGTAAATAGTAAATGCACCATGGAGCGACACAACTGACTCCTAAAGGGAATGAGAGACGACACTCTTATTGGTTTAATGCAGGTCATGCTCAAAACACACCCAGAACTCATTAAGAGAATCAACACAGCCCTGTTAGAGCATGCGCCGGGGCGCAGAGCGTATTTATCCATCCATTAAATAGCAAAAGTGTATTCAGACACGGCCTTAATGCTTTTGCACAATGAGCTTTAGACTTTGATCATCAAAATAGAGCCCGGATGCTTTTCCTACTTTAGTGCATTTACAAATACTGAAAATGCCTGTTTGTTTTCGGTTAAATTCTCAGATTAGGTTTGTCTGAGGTATTGGGCGTGGCTAACACTAAACCACGCCCCTCCAGCTGTCAGGAGCTATGACAACAAGCCACACCCACTGCGTTCTCATTTACTAATCTGTTTCTCTCATCACAATACGGGAGAAAAAAAATGGACGCAGCTTACATTAATATAATCAGTGTTATTTTTTTTAAAACTTTCATTAAATCATTAGCTTCATTAAGGCTTCATTAAAGTGTTTGTTTTGATAATCATAGAAGGTTTATTTTGGGAATGCGAAATGTAGCCGCATTTCTAGAATCATCCATATGCTCTAACTGTGTGTTTCTCTGCAGGTGAAGGGCAACGTCGTGGCTGTGTTTAATGTGGGCACGTATGACATCAACATCGAGGAGAACGGGAAGCTTGTAAATGATGGAAATTACCATATAGTGCGGTTCACCAGGAGCGGCGGCAACGCCACACTACAGGTGGACGACCTGCCGGTTATTGAGCGATTCCCACCAGGTGAGAGACACACTTTACTGTTCACTGCATGATTCTTTACACTGCAAAAATGCTTCTCGTACTTGCAGACTTTTTGTCTTGTTTTTAATTTAAAAGTGTAAACATTCTTAAATCAAGAAGTTTTTCTAGGCAAGCACACAAAAATAGTGCTGCTTTCAGAAATAAAGAGTCAAAATGAAGAGAGTTTCTCATTAAAACATGCGAAATAATTTGCCAAGGGGGTCAGTGCTTCCGACACATAGACTTTACTTGTTCGGGCCACCCAAGTATATAACCAAACGTTCGCAATCGATCAAGTAGTAGAAAATCTGCTCTCGTTTGCCTGTTTTGTACTGCTCGTTCTGTGTGCACTAAAGCTGTCAACACTCCCACCGACAGCCTCACATGCTCTGCAGACCTACAGAGACGTGCCTTCTCACATCCGGCCGGGGTTTCTAAATCTGCAAAAATGTCAGAGATTCGAGTTTTGCTTTCTCTTTCTCAAGCTGTTTAATTGTATGCGCACCGCCTCGAGAGCAAAAGACACAATTAATGATTCATTTCTTAATCTTACGACTCAGAAAAACATTTCTATATACTCAAGAGAGGACAAAATTACATCTAAATTGTCTGCGAAATATTTGTACACCATTAGAAATGGTTAATCAAATCATTTTCCGTATTTAAATCATCTACATCTAAATATTCTCTTTATTCTTGTAATAATTACAGACTTTTTATTGACATTGCGTGTTCTTATTTATTTTTTTCTCTCACTTGCTGTATATTTTATTAATTTGATGATGTCAATACATTAAATATTTTATACATTTAAAATACTTTGGCAATACTGTACAAAATGTCATGCAATAGCAAGTTGAACTTGAATGAGAGAGAGAGAGAAGCAGATTAACCTGTCAGTGTGTGCACATGGCTCCTGCATAGCATAGAAGAGAAATAGTGCATTTCTTTAATCACTTCAACCCATTGAAAAGAAGCAGTTTATAACAGTTTCTTAATAAATACAAATATTGTTAAAAGCTAATTATGCTTTGTTTGTCGCATATAGTTTATGTGATGTGGGTAAATGGTGTTTCAATCTGGTATATTTCAGACCTGTGGGCATATCAAAGCAAAACAAGATTATTTCTCTTCCCCCAGTGTCAGATTATTGCTTGTTTTCACTTTATTTTGACTTATTATTTCTGCAAACAACACTATATTTTTTTGCTCATCCAAAAATGCTTCTTGATTTAGGAATATGTTGATATTTGGACTAGAAACAAGACAAAAGCTCAGAGTTAGAGTAGAATTTTGCAGTGTGGTTTACAGGAATCGTTAATACTGTCTGACTTTTATAATATAGACATGGTTAGTTAAAAAGCTTAATGCTTAGTTAATGAGTGAATGCTTACCTTTGCTATTTATTAAAAAACTACTGTCTGTAGGCGTTTGATTCAGCACTGCTCTTGTAAATCAAAGAGTGATGGAGATTTTGGGAAACTCTTGAAGGCATTGAGGCATGTCATTATTCCTCATTAATTTGTGCAAAATGTTTAGGATACTCTAACCCTTTGGGATCAATAGATTTGATAATTGTAATGAATTATATATAATTATGTCCACTCCGCTACTGTGATATTCCAGTGAATTCACTGTTTAAAAACAATAATATGATGAAAACCCCTGGTATATTTGAGGAACTCAATCTTTCTTAGTATTGCTTATTAGTGCTTTTTAAGCCCTCCTGTTGACTCACGGGTCAAAGATGACCCAGGCACTATTTTAACAGCAGAAAAAACCCTAAACAATAATTTTTTATCTTGAAATTTGGTGATAATTTTTTATTTTCTATCTTTTATGGAGGCTGAACACATTTAGGCTGAAAGGTTTGTCCTTCGGGGCAATTTTGACCGACCAGCTATAAAATAATTGGTCACACTTAACGATAAGGCTTCATTAGTTAATAATAGCTAATATAATTACTAACATGAACTAATAATGAACAACACTTTCAAAGCATTTATTAATGATAGTTTAACATTTACTAATGCATTATTTAAATGCGAATCCATGCTTGTTAACAGTAGTTAATGCACCGTGAGTTAACATCAACTTACTGTGTTTTTATTAACTAACATTACCAAACTCGAGCAGATACTGTAATGTGTTGTTCACTGTTTATTCATGTTAGTAAGTGCATTAACTAACATTAACTAATGCAACCTTATTGTAAAGTGAAAAACTACTGACATAAACACTGATCTGCTGCTGCTTTCAGTAGTATGGCAATAAATGTGATGTAAAATGCTGTTTAAGCTCTCGTTGGGAGCACTGAACACTGAATAAAGCACATGATCAGTACCTGAGGTGATTGTTGTCATAGTAGTTTATGCTGTTGCTCTGCTTTGATGTCGCAGAAATAGAAACGGTTTCTGAAATAGTAATTTTGCACATCGCTGGTTTAGCACAAAAATTGGTTTTAACATTAAAAAGATAGCTTTTATCACATGTCGTGACACCGCGTCGCGTGTAGCTAGGACACACTGAAATAGTATGTAATAATTCATGTTAAATAAGTAAAAGAAATGGAGAAGCGGCCAAATAAATATCTGTGGACGCTCTTGTCATTCACACATGTCAACGCCACTGGCTTTCAGCTTTGATCATACATGCAGTCCAGTTTCATCGGGTTGCTTCTTCTTTTTCTAAATGATTAATGCAGGTTGGGTTTGGGTAAGAAGTGACTGAGTTCAGGATTGGATTTTAGGACTCGAGAAAAGCTCAGACAGTCAGACAGGCTTCAGATGATAGCGGATGTTCCCATTCTGTCAGAAAATCCATTATTTATTTTGTCCAGTGAACCTGTGAGAGAGATCTGCTGCTCTTCAGGCTCTGATTATATTCGGCGTTATCATTAGCCTGTGTTTACACTGATACAGATGAAAACGCTCAGTGTCATCACTAGGGATGCAACGATTAACCAGTTTCACTATTAACAGCGTCACGTTTAGTTAATGGTAAAGGCTTCTCAACACAGCGTTTCTGCACAGAACAAAACTGCAGCAACTAAACAGTTATGCAAACTGTGCGCTAGTTTGTACATTGAGACTAATAACCACGCACACTAGATTGACTATGACTGAGGCTATTAACTAAGGCAGACACGTGCAAGTTCATTATTTCCAATGGAGGGACGCGCTCACGCTTTTCAGGCGCACCGTTAGGATGACAGGGGGGCTTTGTGACCGCGGGACCTGCAAACCGCTGAAGTCTGAGAAAAAAGCAGTACATGAAAACTACACAGGTTTGCAAACCCACTTAATGTTACATATAACGGCGCAGATAAGACCAATAATGTGGTGAGTGTTGATCCGCCAGCCGAGATCAACTGAGTGATTTCAGAGAGAGCGCTGAAAGACTCGGGGTGGACCAGCTGTATGGCCTGAATCTCGGTGCGTTGCATTCACCGCATGTTCATCTGCCCTGCTTATATAGTGGGTCGGCTGACTCGCCTGCTTTATTCCACAAACACAGAGATGAAAATCAGTGCATAGCGAGACCGAGCATTTACAGTGACCAAACACAAACCAAAACGTTTAAAGAGGTGCAGAACTCTTTCTTACTATTCTTTCTGTTTATTAAATTGACATGCTTATAAAGCAATAGTGCAAAATAAATATGTCTTACTGCAAATAGTGTTTGGACAACAGTTGCAGGATGACACTGTATATCTGTAACAAAATATAAAACATTCAAAGTATTTTAAACAGCCACTACAAATGTGCTAGGAGCCCTAGGAGGTTAATTCTGTATATATATAGTCATCTGTACACAGTCTATGCTGCTATAAACTAAATTAAGTGTAAAATATATGTAAATGTAAACATAAGAGCTTAAGTATTCAGTTTTTAACCTTTGACCTTGTAATTTAACCAATGAAATGTCTTTTTAAACTTTAAAGGACACATTGATAGTCACCGGCTGGGAACTGGTAGACTTCCATATCGGCGGCTAGTTGAAGAATCGCTACCGAAGAACGGTAAAAACCAGGATAAAGCTTAAGTAATACTATTTTAACAGTTTTAACAGTAGTATTTTTGCTTTAAAGCAATAATTTAATCATTAATTGATATTAAAGTAAGCTATTTAAATAGGGCACGCTTGGAATAATGTATTAATGATAACTAGTTTGTTTAAACACTCAGTTAAAGGGACTGTACATTTAAAATAATTTCAACTATATATAATGTAAAGATTTTTGATAAATTAATTAAGTGTAATGTAAAATTTTGATCTAATAACTGTAGCATGTGTCTGTGATGAATTAAGAACCTGGCACAGTAAATAGACCATATTTAATCATGTGATTTAGAAATAAAACAATAAATAGTATTTCAATATATATATTTTAAAGTAACAAGCTTGAGTCCCTTTAACAAGATTTTACATCAATAAAAATGAGATAAATGATAATAAGTTATTTAAATGCATGTCTGATTTGAGATTTTAATATGCAGTGTGCCTCCGCCGTCGCTGTTCTGTTCTTGTTGATTTCAGTTTAATTTTCCGTCTTCATTTTCTTCACGATCTTCATTTATCTCTGCATCAGTGCTGAAAGGCAGACTTGGTTATTGATTTTTCAGTTTGTAGTGTGTTGTTCATTTGTAAACAGCACTATTGTGTTCACACACCTACATCAAAGCATTAGATCACTTCCAGAATGAACATTTACTAAAAGTTTTTCTGTCATTTAAGATGTTTGGTTTTTTCTTTCTTCAGTGATAAAGAAATGAAGGTTTTTGGGGGAAACACAGATGATTTTTCTCCTTTTAGTCATGATGGTTGATTGTCAACACTGCTTTATGAAACATTTATGAATCGTTTGTTTTACATCAGAAAATTCAGTCGTATATGTGTGATACCATTAAATCCACATGAATCTCATGTATTTACCCTGATCGCCCTCTAGTGGAGAATCACTGAACTGGTTTCATCTCTCTGCAACTCTCACATGGTCACCAGCAGGTGTACTGCAGCAGCTGATGTTTGACTGTTGTAGCTGTGGAATAACTCTTATCATTCAGTGGAGTGATATGGAGTTGCAATGCACTCTAAACCTGCTGGAACTACTTTAGCCGTGCCTTAACCAAACACCTGAGAGTGACCATCTGCCAATCAGAATCAAGCTTTCAATAGACCTGTAAGCTGGCCGGCAGAGCTCGCTTTCTGCAGTTCTCACATGGTCGCCCACTGAAGCTAAGCAGGGCTGCGCCCGGTCAGTACCTTGATGGAAGACCACATGGGACAGCTAGGTTGCTGCAGGAAGTGGTGTTAGTGAGGCCAGCAGGGGGCGTTAACTGTGTGGTCTGAGTGAGTCCTAATGCCCCAGTATTGTGAAGGGGACTCTATACTGCTCAGTGAGCGCCGTCTTTCAATTGAGACGTTAAACCGAGGTCCTGACTTTCTTTGGTCGTTAAAAATCCCAGGATGTCCATCATGGCCTCCTAACCCTCCCCATATCATAATTGGCTTCATCACTCTGTCCACCATTCTCCACCAATCAGCTGCTGTGCAATCTGGTGCAATATGGCCACCGTCACCTCATCCAGGTGGATGCTGCACACTGGTGCTGGAAGAGACCCCAACCTCCCCCAATGCTAGAGGAAGGAAGGAAAGAAAGAAAGGAAGAAAAAGAAAGAAAGGAAGGAAAGGAAGGAAGAAAAGGAAGATAGGAAAGAAAGAAAGAAAGAAAGAAAGAAAGAAAGAAAGAAAGAAAGAAAGAAAAAAGAAAGGGAAGGAAGTAAAGAAAGAAATGAAGGAAGAAAAAGAAAGAAAGAAAGAAAGAAAGAAAGGAATGAAGGAAGGAAGAACAGAAAGGAGGAAGGAAAGAAGGAAAGGAAGGAAGAAAAAGAAAGAAAGGAAATGAAGGATGTAAAGAAATAAATGAAGGAAAAAAGAAAGAAAGGAAGAATAGAAAGGAAGAAAGAAAGGAAGGATGGAAAGAAATGGAAGGAAAGACAGAAGGAAAGGAAGAAACGAAGAAAGCAAAGGAAGAAAGAAAGGAAAGACGAAAAGAAAGAAATGAAGGAAGAAAAGAAGGAAAGAAAGAAAGAGAGAAAGAAAGAAAGAAAGAAAGAAAGAAAGAAAGAAAGAAAGAAAGAAGAAAGGAAAGGAAGGAAGGAAATAAATAAATAAAGGAAGAAAAAGAAAGAAAGAAAGGAAGGAAGGAAGAACAGAAAGGAGGAAGGAAAGAAGGAAAGGAAGAAAAAGAAAGAAAGGAAATGAAGCATGGAAAGAAATAAATGAAGGAAAAAAAGAAAGAAAGCAAGAATGGAAAGTAAGAAAGAAAGAAAGAAAAGAAGGACGGAAAGAAATGGAAGGAAAGACAGAAAGAAAGGAAGGAAAGGAAGAAAACAAGAAAGAAAGAAAGAAAGGAAAGACGGAAAGAAAGAAATGAAGGAAGGAAGGAAGAAAAGAAGAAAGGAAGGAAAGAAAGAAAGAAAGAAAGAAAGAAATAAATAAAGAAAGAAATGAACATCTAACATGTCAAAAGCGGTGAGTAAATGTTCATTCTGGAGAAACTAACCCTGTAAATCAGATGAAGTTGTTTCTGAGAGTCTGAGCTGATCGATCTGCCTTCATCATCACTCTCCCGTCACTGTTCACTCATTTACTGTAGTATTTCTGAATCACTGCATCACATGCTTCACACCTCTCCATCACCCACAGAGGATCTCTTTAAAGAGGCCTTTCAGCAAAACCACCACAGCAGCATATGTGTCCCCATCTTGCTTATTTCAGTTCACAGTTGAAGACTGAATTATATATTTAAATGTGCTGTTAAACAGAGAATTTACCACATTTATAAACATAATAGTTTGAATAACTGATGTGTTTCCTCTTCTCCATGATGACAGCACATAATATTAGACTAGATATTCTTCAAGACACTAGTGTTCAGCTTACAGTGACATGTAAAGGCTTCACTAGGGTAATTAGGGAGACAATCCAACACTAATATTGCTGAAGGGGGCGAATAATATTGACCACAGCTGTTTTAATTCCAGCCAAACAGGTGTTCTGAAGGACACCTCTCACCCTGCTCACAGACAGTTTTCTGTCCTGCCCTCCGGCAGGCGCTTCAGGCTCCCCCAGGCAAAAACCAGCAGACTGAGGAACAGCTTTTTCCCCAGAGCTGTCTCCCTCCTGAACTCTGCCCCACACTGACTCTTTTGCCCCCCCCCAATACACCCCCACTCTCCTCTAACTTAAACTCCTCGCAATAACTGCACTGTTTAACATTTGCACATTTAAAAACTTGCACATTGAACTGTTTACTTATTGAACTGTACATAACCACTGCATATGGACATTTGTAATTATGTAGACACCCACTATACATATACACTTGTAATCTAGTACTGATTATTAATAGCAACCTGTACATATATTCATATATTGTTACATATACACTTGTAATCAAGTTTATCTATCTGCACACTACTGATTATTAATAGCAACCTGCACATATATTCATATATTGTAAATCTGCTCATAGCTTATCCAACCTGTATATAATGTTGATAGTACATCCATCTGTAAATATCACCATAGTTTTCTATGACTGCACTTTATAACTTATTCCTGTATCCTGCACTTGCTGCTATTGCACTGCTGGTTAGACCTAAACTGCATTTCGTTGCATTGTACTTGTACATGTGTAATGACAATAAAGATGAATTTAATCTAATCTATCTAAAAAACTGAAAGAAGTAAGATTTTCTCCAGAAGTAAAATATATTAGGAAATACTGTGAAATGCCTTTGCTCTTGGGAAATATCAGAAATAAAGATTCACAGAAAGGGGAATAATTTAGTCTTCAGCTGTGTGTGTGTGTGTGTGTGTGTGTGTGTGAGTGTGTGTTTCATCAGCATTGCTTTGAGCAGGATAATGCGTCGTCTGCTCAGGCGTGATTATTCCTCATCATCTGTGTATGTATGTGTGTGTGTGTGTGTGTGTGTGTGTGTGTGTGTGTGTGTTTGTGTGTGTGCGCTGCAAAAATGTGTTGTTTCTAGTCCAAATATCCAAAAATTCTCAAATCAGTCAGCATTTTCTAGACAAGCACACAATAAAGTCTTGTTTTCAGAAATAATGAGTCATAATGAAGAGAGTTTTTTCTTTAAAACAACAGATTTGAGCCGATTTGAACCGAAACAGTGTTGTTTTTCACACAAGGTTATTTCTCATTATTTCTGAAAACAAGACGATATTGTGTGCTTTTTATAGAACGTTCAGTCTGATTGGAGAATTTTTAGATGGACAAGGAAGGGTTTTTTTTGCAGTGTGTGTTTGTGTATGCGTGTGTGCGAGTGTTTGTCCGTGCAAGTGCTTGCGTGCATGCATGTGTGTGCGTGCGAGCGAGCGCTTGCATGCGTGCGTGTGTATGCGATGGGTTGTGTGCTTGCTTGTGTGCATGTGTGTGTGCGTGCATGTGTTTTTATGTGAGTGCTTGCGTGTGGGCGTGTGAGGGACTGCGTGCATGCATCCGAGTGCTTGTGCGTGCGTCCGAATGCTTGCGTGAGTGAGTACAAGTGTGCATGTATGCGTGCATGCATTCGTGTGTGTTTGTGTGAGTACATGCATGTGTGTGTGAGTGTGTGTGCGAGTGTGCGTGCATGTAAATGTGTGTGCATGAGTCTGTGTGCTTTGAAGTGCTTGTGCATGTGTGAATGAGTGTGTGTGTATGTGTGTATATACAAGTGCTTTTGCGTGCGTTTGTTTGTGTGTGTGCGTGAGTGTGTGTGTGTTTGTATATACAAGTGTTTGTGTGTGTGTTTGTTTGTGTGCATTAATGTGTGCGTGCATCCGTTTATTAGTGTGTGCATGCATGTGTGCGGGTGTGTGCATGTGTGCGTGCGAGTTTGTGTGTGTGTGTGAGTGTGTGCATGCATGTGAGTTTGTGTGTGTGTATGTGTGTGTGTATCTCAGTGCTGCTGTAGTAACTCAGCTCTCCTGCAGGCCGTCAGCTCACCATCTTCAACAGTCAGATGACGATCCGCATCGGCGGCTGGCAGAAGCAGCAGGTCTCGGGCTTTCAGGGTCAGATGTCGGGCTTTTATTACAACGGCCTGAAGGTGTTCAGCATGGCTGCGGACGGAGACCCAAACGTGCGCATGGAAGGCAGCGTGCGGCTGGTGGGAGAGCTGCAGTCCTCCTCTACACCACACGGCGGCGCCACTGTCTATCAGAGCTCAGTGACGGAGATCAGCAGCACCACCAGCAACACCATCACCATCACATACAGCACACCAGCAGACGAGCAGCAGGTCAGAGCTCAGCGCTGCTGCACACTCAATAGCACAGTTTATCCTTCATTTTCACACACAAGAGTAAAGAATGAAGAAAAGAAGGAAGGAAAAACATATAGAGGCTTATTTTTATTTTAAACATAATAGTTTTAATAACTAGTTTCTAATATCTGATAACCCTTATCACGCAGACATAGAACACACACTCCTGTTTCACTCGGGCCAGACAACACGGGAGCCGACAGCAGTTGGTTTTTGTCAGCAGAAGTTGTTTGGGTTCATCTTGGTGTGTCCTGGCCTTTAGTTGACTAACATTAATTTATGCCCAGTTCACACTACAGGATTTTAAGCTCGATTTGAGCCCAGTTTGAGACTGATTTGAGATCAATTTGGGCCCAGTTTGAGATTGATTTGAGACAGATTTGAGATCAATTTGAGACCATTTTAAGACCTTTTGAGCCGGATTTGAGATCGATTTGAGCAAAATTTGAGACCGTTTTGAGACCGATTTTAGACCATTATTAACCCAATTTGAGACCGTTTTGAGATTGATTTGGGACCGTTTTATTCCCATTTTGAGACATATTTGAAATCAATTTGAGACCGATTTGAGATCAAATTGAAACCATTTTAAGATCGTTTTTGAGACTTTTTTTAGCCCAGTTTGAGATCGATTTGAGCCCAATTTGAGATTGTTTTGAGACTGTTTTGAGCCCAGTTTAGGATTGACTTGAGCCCAATTTGAGATTGTTTTGAGCCCAGTTTGAGATCGATTTGAGCCCAATTTGAGATCGTTTTGAGACCATTTTGAGATTGATTTGAGCCCAATTTGAGACCATTTTGAGCCCAGTTTGAGACCGGTTTTAGACCGTTTTAAGCCCAATTTGAGACAGTTTTAAGCCCAATTTGAAACCGGTTTGAGATCGTTTTAAGACAGTTTTAAGCCTAATTTGAGACTGGTTTGAGATCGTTTTGAGATCGATTTGAGACCGATTTGAAACTGATTTGAGACCAGTTTGAGACCCTTTTGAGCCTGATTTGAAACCAATTTGAACACTCAACTAAACACTTTCAGAGAGATTTCAAACTGTGTCAGTGACGTCATCATCACACATCAGCCAATAGTGTTCACCTCTTTCTGACTGCTCCGCCCTCAACCTCTCATTGACTGGTTTAGGGGTGGGACAGAGCTGTTGTGTGACAGAGTTGTTGTCAGATCGTGTAGTGTGTGACGCCCTCTTGTGGATCATTTACATAGTGTAAACACCATAACGTTTTAAAGGTCCTGTGAAATGTGCATTTTTTATTGGATGTTTGACGTAATCTCAACTAAATAATGAAGAGAGGGCGGGGCATATATTAGCTTCCCCCCTCCTCCTCTTTATAAAAGCAGCCAATAGCGTTTAGTTTTTCCTCACAGCTCTGCCAGTGAGAGTGGTTGAGCTCACATGTATTAAATGAGCAACCAATGAGAAGAAGGGGCGGGGCATGTTAGGCTCTAAAGAGCATTTGATTGGTCAGAAGATTTAATGAGAGACTGAAGTATGAGGAGACGACAAAAAATCCTTAATCCATTCAGGCGGAAGTGACAGACTGCAAACTTTACACGTGCATATCAGGTTCATATGATCTAATCGTGAATTTTGTCTCTGTTTTAGAGCACACTAGCTTATTGATATCCTTAACACTAACAATACTCTTACTAACATCTAAACAGCTTTAATTTCATTTCATGAGATCTGTAAAGACAAAATCAAGTCACATACTCTAATCTGCTAATGATTAAAGTCTTGTAGTGTGAACTGGGCTTAAATGAGTTAGTGTGTTGTTCTGTTTTTCATCCTCTCTCTCTGTGTGTGTGTGTGTGTGTGTGTGTGTGTGTGTGTGTGTGTGTGTGTGTGTGTGTGTGTGTGTGTGTGTCTGCTAGACTACAGATGAGCTGTTAGTGGCGTCCGCCGAGTGCCCTAGTGATGATGAGGACATTGACCCGTGTGAGCCGAGCTCAGGTGGGTTACAGTCGGCTGGTTCTGTTGTCATTACCGCATTTCTGACTGAATATCAGTCTCCTGCTGCATGTGGTTTTCAATGTGAAAGTTCCAGTCTTCAAGAAGGATCGTCTCTGTTTTGTTTTATGCCATGGTAAGTCAGTTGTTTTGTACACACTGCAAAAAAAAGATTACTATCACTATTTTAATGTACAAGTCACACTATTAACAAACCATTAATTAGGACTTTTAGCTCAATAAAGGGTTTATTATCTGCTTGTTATTGGTTAGTAAGGTAGTAGTTGGGTCTAGGTGTTAGGGATGTAAAATAAGATCATACTTTATATAGAGCAATCATAATAAATATAATTGTGTGAGAATGAGGGTAATGTGTTGCACAATCGCCTCACAGCAAGAAGGTTGCTGGTTTGAGCCTCGGCTGGGTCAGTTGGTGTTTCTGTGTGTAGTTTGCATGCTCTCCTTGTGTTGGTGTGGGTTTCCTCCGGGTGCTCCGGTTTCCCCCACAGTCCAAACACATGCGGTACAGGGGAATTGATTAACTAAATTGGCAGGGAGTGCGAGTGTGTATGGATGTTTCCCAGTGATGGGTTGCAGCTGGAAGGGCATCCGCTGCATAAAACATATGCCAGATAAGTTGGCGGTTCATTCCGCTGTGGTGAGCCCTGATTAATAAAGGGACTAAGCTGAAAATAAAATTAATGTTTGAGAATGATGTAAACACTATATGTGACCTTTATTTTGTGTATTTATTTTGACTTATTTATGTATTTTGTGTATGTGTTTGTTATAATCAGGGTGTCCTTGGCTTCTTAAAAAACTTAAAATGTCTCAAAAACTAAATTTTAGGCTTTAAAAAGTCTTAAATTGACTGGAATATTGTCTTGTTTGTCTTAAATCATTTTAATCTTAATTTTCCTTTGTTTATGTAAAGCTACCCAGTCGATTCAACACATCCAATCACCAATAATACAAAACATTTAGTAAATCTCTGTTTATAACTAATATTATAACAGTCTGTTGTGCATGCCTTTAGTTTATTAAGAGTTTTTGTTGAAAAAACAGTATGTATAGAACTAGGGGCACATTATATGAAATATGTGGCTAAGAAGTAATTAATTAAACAATTTTAATTACAGTTTTTAAATGTTTTTAAACATCAGTAGCGTTTACCCCTATACAAGTCTGAAATTTCATTATTGATGCTCTTGAAAAGGCTTAAATTTGACTTGGTGAAACTTGCAGAAACCCTGAAAATAAACATAAAAAGAAAGAAAAACCAATGCTGATCTTCAGTCAATATTGGAGGGACCGGTGACTTTTAAGCGTGAGAAATAAAAGCTGTGGTGTGTGAGCGTGTGAACTGGCTCAAATGCGTGTCCAGACTTGAGATTGTGAATAAATTAATTAAACTGAATCTTAATAAGTGTAAATAAATAAGGTGTAAATGAGGCCAGGGTTATCAAATCCTGATTTCTTTCCTCTTCTCCATGATGACAGCACATAATATTAGACTAGATATTCTTCAAGACACTAGTTTTCAGCTTAAAGTGACATGTAAAGGCTTCACTAGGGTAATTAGGGTAAAGTTAGGGTAATTAGGCAAATCATTGTATAACAGTGGTTTGTTCTGGAGACAATCCAACACTAATATTGCTGAAGGGGCCAATAATATTGAGCTTAACATGGCTTTAAAACTATTAAAAACTGCTTTAATCTAGCCCAAATAAAACAAATCAGACTTTCTCCAGAAGAACAAATATTAGAGGAAACACTGTGAACAATTGTGAGGGCGAATAATTCTGACTTCATCTGTACATAATAACTTTAACTAATAAAAGCTATTAGTTAGTAATAAATTAGTAATTAATAAAGTAACTAATAAAGTTATGGTCACTAATAAGCTTAGCTTTTCTGACTGTAATGCAGTAATGTGCACCTTTTGTAAAGCTGCTTTGAAACCATATCTATTAGGGGTGTCACAATTTTGATTTTTAATCGAAATCGATAAAAATTTATGCTCAATTTCGATTATCGAATCAAAAAATAGAATGGTTGATGCTGCCACGCCCGCATGTCACGTCAGCTTGGCTTGCCAAGCGGGAAAAAACAGGCTTGTTGAAGTGCTTGTTAAACTGCAGAAGCAGGAGACCCGTCGACAGAGCTTAAACCCTCTCCTCTTTCAATGAAGTCGCCGGTGTGGAAGCATTTTGGATTTCCAGTGAGTTATGTTGACAACATTCGTGTTGTCGACCAAAAAAAACACAGTTTTGCAAGCTCTGCTATGTACATATTACGTACGGTTCGTCCGATAGACAACACCGGCATCGCGATCCTCCGCCCGCCCCCGTTGCAAATCCGCTGGGGAAAAGTACACACTCAGGCCCTGTTTACACTGTCTTTGTTTTTAAATGGCGTTTTAGATCGACAACGATTTGACATCCACAGTGGCGTGTAGCATTTCTGAGCAGCCCTCCTTCCTCACTACCTCTGAAAATGCACATCACGTGACCACACACACACAGACGCACACACAGCCATGCGCTCGAGACAGCAGGTCCAGGCAGTCAGAGGACTGCTTCAATCTTTCACTCACTTGTGCTTCGTCATTTAGCGAACACCTCAGATACTGTTGGCTGGTTCCTGTTGGTTGTGCGTCTTTTTTACCGACGCCATTATAACGACACAGATCACTGCCTATTCACGAGTCCCGCAGAAAAAGTGATTGACAGGTGGTGATTATGTGTGTGTCTTGCCTTTATTCATTTACTGTATGATTTGTTTATGGGTAAAACAAAGACCATGCAGGTCAGGTAGTTTAAACGGTAGGCTACAAATAATTAATTGGTCATTAATTAATGAATTATTCATAATCGAAAATCGAATCGAATCGTGCCTTTAGAATCGAAAATGTAATCGAATCGAGGATTTGGAGGATCGTGACACCCTTAATATCTACTGTGAAAGCGCTATACTAGTTAACTTGAATTGACTAAAGGGACCCTGTGTTGTTTTGTTCCTCCAGCGGGCCCCACAGGCCCCGCGATCAGCAGTTTTCCAGGCCCGGCGGAGGTTTTCCGGGAGTCCAACGGCACCACAGGGATGGTGGTGGGCATCGTGGCGGGCGCGGCGCTCTGCATCCTCATCCTGCTCTACGCCATGTACAAATACCGCAACCGAGACGAGGGGTCGTACCATGTGGACGAGAGCAGAAACTACATCTGCAACTCCAACGGAGCCGCGCTGAAGGAGAAAAACACTGCAGACGACGACAGCGGGAGCAAGAGCAAGAAGAACAAAAACAAGGAGTATTACGTGTGATCCAATAATCCTGCAAACACTCAGAGTTTGTGTCTTGTTTCTAGAGCAGATATCTAAAACCTCTTTAATCAAGAAGTATCTTCTAGATGAGCACTAAATGTAGTGTTGTTCTCAGAAATAATGAGTCAAAATGAAGGGAGTTTCTCATTAAAACAAGCAGAATAATCTGACACTGGGGGAAGCAGAATTCACGACACACTGAGGACTGAACACAGGAGGTCAGTATATACACAATGTTTTATCAACAAAGTTAATAATGAAGCTTAACTGAGTTTGTGGAGATTAAGGACACACGACACATAAACATGAGTCCAGGAAGACGAGGAACACAGGGACGCTAGAACAGGAGAAAAGCTGGAGAGGGATTGGATGAAACTCAATGGCTGTTTCTCAATTCTAAAAAGGCAGAGAACAGACTTGCGTTCTTGTGGAGAGCGGTCTTGAGTGCTGAGGAATGAGATGCTGCGTTCTTCCTGATGGTCATTCACGCGTTTTTAATGGTAAATGATTTAAACATTACAGCATTCATACAATGATTTACTGTTTCCCCCTTTTTAAAACATATACTCTGCATAAAAACATTATCAGCATACTCTGCTCAATATAAATAAACAGATTTTAATACGAACTTCAGCAAACAAACACCCTTAATGTGTTTATTCCTTTACTAAGATGTCCATGGTGATGTTTACTTTCACCGTTTCATTTAGGGAAACTCCTGAAGTAAATAAGTCACATCTCTGAACTTTAATAATGAATCTAGATGAAATGCTGCGCTTCCCACCTCCAGTCGCAATGACTTCTGGGACCTCCAGAGCGAGTTCGGTGCGCAAGTCTGCAAGGGTGCGTTTCAGCCTGATCTCACGAGAAAACGTAAGTATTTTTTGTTTTGCCAGTTTAGTGGCTAATTCGTACGAGTTCAGTCGTACGAAATGGTACGATTTTAAAAAGGAGGCGTGGCACCTGACCCCACCCCTAACCCCAACCGTCATTGGGGGATGAGCAAATCGTACTAAATTGTACGAATTAGATCGTACGTATTTTTACGAATTAGCCACTAAATGAAAAAGTTACGAATTGGCGTGAGATTGTGTTGTGCGTTCTCGATATCAAGAACACATCCGGGAAGTTTCACGTGTCCTCTGTTCTTGCGGTCTTGATTATTGCAACTGAACTTTAGCAGCTGATGATGACGTTTCACGAGAAGGCAAGATCGCTGAAGAACGCATACTGAGAAACAGCCAGAGTGTGATTTTCAGGACTGACACTGGCTGACTGAAGGTGAGTGCTCTTTGTAGTGTGTCTGTGAACAGGTAATTAGTAATCCAGTAAGCGGGTGTGAGTTGAATGGTTCCAGCGACTGCCCGACAAAAATAATCTTGTTTTTGCTAAATTATTCTGCTTCCTCCAGTGTCAGATTACTCTGCTTGTTTTAATGAGAAACTCTCTTCATTTTGACTCATTATTTCTGAGATCAAGCTGATATTATTATTTGCTTGTCTAGAGAATGCTGACTGATTGAAGAATGTTTAGATATTTGGACTAGAAACAAGACAAAAAATAGCAAGAAAGCATAAAGCTACTGACGTGTGATAAGACACACTGAGACATCAGATCTTACAGTACAGTACGCAGGGGCATAGTAATGGGGGGAAATGGTGACAGAGTGCATTTAGGGGCCCAGCAACAAGTCTTCTCTTCAGTCAACCCCCTCACCCACGCTCTTGACTTGGGAGATCGCCAACATCACAACTTTGGAAATAAACTCGCTGTTTCTTGTATAACTTACGCAAGAAGAGGAATGAAGCTTTCTTTTTAAATCTTTTTTGATCTTTTACATTTGTTTTTGCCTGTTTGTGTTGCTGAAACTTTTCCTGATGCATCTGTGAAGAACACGAGGAGAAAAGAAAATGAGTCTGCTTCATCTGTTGGGCTTTTCACACTGAGCTTAACCCAGAGTTATCACTGATTCAGTGATTCATTCAGAGTGAGTCTCCAGTTAGCAACTCACTGATTCAGTGATTCGTTCAGAGTGAGTCTCCAGTTAAAAATTCACAGATTCATTCAGTGAATTCAATCTCTAGTTAATGACTCACTGATTCAGTTGATTTGTTCAGAGCAAATCTCCAGCTAATGACTCACTGATTCAGTTGATTTGTTCAGAGCAAATCTCCAGCTAATGACTCACTGATTCAGTTGATTTGTTCAGAGCAAATTTTGAGTTAACGACTCACTGATTCAGTTGATTCTTTCAGAGCAAATCTCCAGCTAATGACTCAGTGATTCAGTTGATTTGTTCAGAGCAAATTTCGAGTTAACGACTCACTGATTCAGTTGATTTGTTCAGAGCAAATCTCCAACTAATGTCTCACTGATTCAGTTGATTTGTTCAGAGCAAAATCTCGAGTTAACGACTCACTGGTTCAGTTGATTTGTTCAGAGCAAATCTCGAGTTAACGACTCACTGATTCAGTTGATTTGTTCAGAGCAAGTCTCTAATTAACTCAGTAATTTAAATGATTTGTTTAGAGTGAGAGTCCAGTTAATGACTCACTGATTCAAATGATTCATTTAGAGTGTTAGTCCAGTTAATGACTCACAGATTCAAATGATTCGTTTAGAGTGTTAGTCCAGTTAATGACTCACAGATTCAAATGATTTATTTAGAGTGAGAGTCCAGTTAATGACTCACAGATTCAAATGATTCGTTTAGAGTGTTAGTCCAGTTAATGACTCACTGATTCAGTTGATTTGTTCAGAGCAAGTCTGTAATTAACTCAATAATTCAAATGATTCGTTTAGAGTGTTAGTCCAGTTAATGACTCACTGATTCAAATGATACGTTCAGAGTGATGCTGCGTCCCGATCTGCATACTATGCGTCCTAAATAGTATTTGACAATAGATTTAGTATGTTACACCGTAAACTCTCAGATGTGTCGTCTAAGCTGCTGCACAGACGATGCAATTGTGATTTTCTCCCCAGCAGAACTGAGAACATCATTAAATGTTTCTAGATGGAGGATGAAGAGAGGTCATTTTTGATTTGACAATGGCTTGTTTTAGTCATGAGTGGCTGTTGGATGTGTGCATGTTTCATGGTTTATAAGCTCATGGGAGAAACACAAAGCAGTGAATCCAGATCCATTCACAGACTCGATATTATGACCAATAAACCCAGCGAGCTGAACCGCCCTGAAATTGATCCACAGCGACAGATGAATGCATTTGTGTTCATCACTCCCGCTAACTGCAGTCATGAATCACATTCAGTCTGGTGTGTGTGTGTGTGTGTGTGTGTATCCGCCTCATTCACACTGGAACAAACAGGAGATGGGAAGAAAACACAAGTGACTTACTTTTGTGGACCTCCTTTATTTATAATTTGATTTAGGAAAGCTGATCAGTAAACTAAACTATTAGCCCCAGTAGCTCCTCCTCCCTGCATATGTGCCGTGCTGGATAAATCTGCATCTTTCTGCTTTTGTTTCTTGTTCATATGTTGAATTTCATCACCTGTGTCTGTTTGATGTGTGCATGTAAACGATATCTTTTAAAATACAATATATTTTCATATATTCACCATCATCTCCTGTGTAGACATTGTTCTTGCATTCTGACAGGAGAATATGACCGTGTGTCCGTTTCCTTTTACAGCTCAGAGTTCATTACTGCAGGTGAGTGTTCATGAAATAATGTCTCTAACAGACATCATTATGAAGTATTTAAATTACTTTAGCTCCACCCCTTCACCAGCAGCTCCACTCCTCCACAAGCAGCTCCTCTTCAGCTGCACTTCCTCCCCTTCACCAGCAGCTCCTCCCTTAACCATCAGCTCCTCCCCTTCATTTACAGCTCCACCTTTTCACCAGCAGCTCTTCCTCTTCACCTGCAGCTTCTCCCCTTCATTTACAGCTCCTCTTCATCTGCACATCCTCCCTTTCTCCAGCAGCTCCTCCCCTTCATCTACAGCTCCTCCCCTTAACCATTAGCTCCTCTCCTTCACCAGCAGCTCCTCCCCTTCATCATCAGCTCCTCCCCTTCATCTACAGCTCCTCCCCTTAACCATTAGCTCCTCTCCTTCACCAGCAGCTCCTCCCCTTCATCATCAGCTCCTCCCCTTCACCAGCAGCTCCTCTTCACCTGCACATCCTCCCCTTCTCCAGCAGCTCCTCCCCTTTGGATTACAGGGGTATATTCACCACATAATAGGCAACGGATTAATAAATTAATAATATTAATTAATAATAATAATAATAATAATAATTAAAAATATATATTTTATTTATTTATTATTTATATATATATATATATATATAAACAATCTAATAATAACAAATGAAATCGTGTTTTCTCTATTTTAAGCCAAAAAGCCTGATAGATTAATTGTTGCGCAATGAAATATAGCGTTACTAACCGACGAGGAAACACGCATGACAGTGCTTTTACACAGTTTATTTATAGAAAGAACAGCCAGAAAGAGAAACTGATGGATTTGTGCCGAATATTAGCATCATTGACCCATAACAATGTGCAGTAAGTTATCTATAAGTTAACTGTCTGTATGTTTGTGTGCTATATATACATATATATATATATATATATATATATATATATATATACAGTTGAGGCCAGAATTATTAGCGCCCCTGTTTATTTTTTCCCCCAATTTCTGTTTAATGGAGGGAAGATTGTTTCAGCACATTTCTAAGCATAATAGTTTTAAAAACCCATTTCTAATAACCGATTTATTTTCTCTTTGCCATGATGACAGTAAATAATATTAGACTAGATATTCTTCAAGACACTTCTATACAGCTTAAAGTGACATGTCAAGGCTTCACTAGGGTAATTAGGTGAACTAGGCAGGTTAGGGGAATTAGGCAAGTTATTGTATAACGATGGTTTGTTCTGGAGATTATCGAAGAAAAAAAAATTTGCTTAAAGGGGCTAATAATATTGACCCAAAAATAGTTTTAAAAAATTCTAAACTGCTTTTATTCTAGCCGAAATAAAACAAATCTGACTTTCTCCAGAAGAACAAATATTATCAGACACACTGTGAAAAACTCCTGAATCTGTTACGTATAATTTGGGAAATATTTAAAAAAGAAAAAAAATCAAAAGGAGGCTAATAATTCTGACTTCAACTGTATGTATATATATATATATATAAAACATTTCAAAAAATTTTCTTTATTATTTAGACTATCTGATGATTGATTTACCCTGTTTTTGCTTTAAAAAAATCTATATAAGCAGCACCATTCTGAACAACATCCACAACACAACAGGCTCAAAGCTGAGGATATTTCTCAACGTTTTATTTTTTAATTATATAGTTTTGTTCATCTGATGCGCCTGTTTTGGGGGAAAAGTGCTTTAAAAATAAACTTTCAGCTTGATAGGAGGAAAAACAAACACAATGTTCGTCAATGGTTACAGGTTTCCAACATTCTTCAAAATATCTTCTTTAGTGTTCGACAGAAGAAACTCAGTTGGTGACATAAATGTGTAAATGAAGACGTTTCACTGACTGAAGAGGAATAAACATGGCTTATGAACCGCGATTCTGTACAACATCGGCTTATTTATTATGTCAACAACACGAAGGGCTCAAACCTGATGCTGGAGAAGTGCAGTGAAGATCCTCAGGTCTTCTTGAAGAAGCTGTGCAGCGTGCCGCGGGGTTCCTGAACTCGGGCTCTTTTAGCCTGCGAGCCGCTCGGGGTCTTCATCTGGCTCGGAGACCCCGAAGAGAAGGACTTCTGCAGGTCCAGAGCGAAGTGATAATCAGCGTGTTCTGGAAACTCCCAGACCAGCACCTTCATCCCGCAGCGCTCGCACACCTGCAGATCCTCCTCTGCTGGAGAACACACACGCTCGCCTGCAGGAGCCACAGCCTGCTGGAAACAGCCGGACATTCCTGACGTGCTTCTCTCAGACGTTTGGTCTCTGGATGTGTTTTCTGCTGGAGCACGGATGTTAGGATCTCCAGTGCAGGGAGAGTTCTGGATCCTGTGCTTCTCCAGACTCTTCATCTGGAAGAACGAGGAGATTCCTGCAGGGCTTTCATCAGAGGTTTGCTCTCTGGGTGGGTTTTCTCCTGGAGCCCGAACGCTCTGATCTCCAACACAGAGAGAGTTCTGGATCTGGTGTTTCTCCAGACTCTTCATCTGGAGGGACGTGGAGATTCCTGCAGGTTTCTCCCTGCATGTGTTTTCTTCTGGAGCACAAACGCTCTGGTCTTCATCATCGAGGCTGACGTTCTGGATCTCCTGTTTCTCCAGGCTCTCTCTCTGGAGGAATGTGGAGATTGCTGTGGTTTTCTGAGCGGCTGTATCTCCGCATGCATGTTCTCCTGAAGCACTCGTGCTCTGATCTCCAGGGCAGAGAGAGTTCTGGATCTCCTGTTTCTCCAGGCTCTTCCTCTGGAAGAATGCGGATATACTAGTGGTGTTCTCGCGCTGGCGCTGGTCCTGCTGTCGTTTCCTCTTCTGCGCTGGTCTCTCCATCGGGCTCCGCTGGCTGCTGGAGCTCTGTGATGGAGATGAAGCCGCGTCGCTGCTCAGGAAGCCGGTTATTCCTGCAGATGAGGATGAGGGAGCGTCGCTGAACTTACTGGCGGACAGATGGAGAAGAGTCAGCGCTGGAGACCTGAGGAGACGCAAGCCTGGATTACACTCGACACATCTGCAACTTCACTTGGGTTGTTCAAGCTTTGTGTGTGTTCGAGTGAGCATGTTTGTGTGTGTGTGTGTGTGTGTGTGTCAGTAAGCATGTTTGTGTGTGTGTGTGTGTGTGTGTGTGTGAAAGCATGTTTGTGTGTGTGTGTTTGTGTGTGAGTGTATTTGTGTGTGTGTGCAATTGTGTGTGTGTGTGTGAGAGAGCATGTTTGTGTTTGTGTGTGTATGTGTGTATTTGTGTGTGTGTGTGTGTGAGCATGTTTGTGTTTGTGTGTATTTGTGTGTGTGTGAGAGCATGTTTGTGTTTGTGTGTGTGTGTGTGTGTGAGAGAGAGAGCATGTTTGTGTGTGTATGTGTGTATTTGTGTGTGTGTGTGAGCATGTTTGTGTGTGTGAGTGCGTGTTTGTGTGTGTGAGTGCGTGTGTGCACGCAAGTGTGCATGAGTGTGTTTGAGCAAGTGTGTGAGCATGTTTGTGTGTGAGCAAATGAGTGAGTGAGTGAGAGTATGTGTGTGTGTGTGAGTGTGTGCGCGGGTGCAAGTGTTTGTTTGTATGTGTGTGTGTTTAAGCAAATGTGTGTGAGTGTGTTTAAGCGTGTGTGTGAGTGTGTTTGAGCATGTTTGTTTGTATGTGTGTGTGTGTGTGTGTGTGTGAGCAAGTGAGTGTGTGTGTTAGTGCGCATGAGTGTCTGTGTTTGTGAGAAAGTGTGTGTGCACACGCGTGAGTGAAAGCAGAAGTGTGTGTGTGTGTGTGTGTGTGTTCCTCACCAGGCCTCCTGGTGTGCTCCAGCAGTGTTCAGGCTCTTGATGATGGTCAGGCTGTCGTTGGTCATCTTCATCGCATCATAGCGCACGAGAGCACAGCAGCGCGAGAAACTGCCTGACCTCTGACCTCCAGCCTGACGCACACCCACCGTCAGCTGCCGGGCCACTCGACCGTTCTGGAGAAAACACACACACACACACACACACCTGAGGTGACGCATGCAGTCTTGTGAAAATGTTTGTACACCCTATTGAACATCATGAGTTATGTATATGGAGACATCAAAGATCACACATTATCCCACATTAGGGTGTCACAGTGGCGCAGTGGTTAGCATGATCGCCTCACAGCAAGAAGGTCTCTGGTTTGAGTCCCGACTGGGTCAGTTGGTGTTTCTGTGTGGAGTTTGCATGTTCTCCCTGTGTTGTCGTGGGTTTCCTCCGGGTGCTCCGGTTTCCCCCACAGTCCAAACACATGCGCTATAGGGGAACTGATCAACTAAAGTGGTCATAGTGTATGGCTGTTTCCCAGTACTGGGTTGCAGCTGGAAGGACATCCACTGCATAAAACATATGCTGGATAAAGTTGGCGGTTCATTCCGCTGTGGCGATCTCTGATTAATAAAGGGACTAAGCTATTAGTGCTGGATTTATCAGGATTAATTGCATCCAAAATCAAAAGTTTGTTTTGCCATTATATATGTGTGTGTGTGTGTGTGTGTGTGTGTGTGTGTGTGTGTGTGTGTGTGTGTGTGTGTGTGTGTAACAAAACCTTTTTTTACACAGATATTTCAACTTACATGCAATTTGTTTCAAATACATAAATATTTTATATCGAAACACAAATAAACATTCTCTCAATATCTGCATGCGTGTGTTTGTGTTTATATATACATTATCAATATACACAGTAATATACTGATTGATTGATGAAGGATTTAAATATGAATGTGAGACGCAGCAGTGTGTGTGTGTGTGTGTACTCACCACATCTCTGTCTTTATTGAGTCTCTCCTCTAACTCTAGAGCCAGCTGATGGAGCCAGTACTGAACCTGCAGAGAGAACAGAGCGTCAGTATGTGCACACACAGACACACACACACACACACACACACACACACACACAACACACAAATACAAATTCACACAAACATAAATATATATATATATATATATATACAAACAACTCAACCAAACACACACACAAAAAACACACACAACACATACACACAGACAAACAACACAATCAAATACGCACACACACACACACACAATTGCACATTCACACAAACATTAAATATATACAAACAATCAATTGCACACACTCAGAAACAACTCGGATACATGAACAACCAAACACACACTCTCATGTGCATACACACACAAACAAATACACACACACACAATTGCATTTCTCTCTCTTTCTCTCTCACACACACACACACACACACACACACACACACACTCTCTCTCCCTCCACCTGTTGTTTTGTGCGCAGGCAGGTTTTCCCAGCGAAGTTCTTGCTGCAGCCGATGGATTTGGGCAGCTGACGAGGCTTCACCGGCTCAAACTCAATCCCTCGACACAGATCATAGAGCCACGGCCTGACAACACACACACACACACACACACAGGCACCACACACACACACACACACACACACACACACACACACACACACACGCGCGCACGCACGCACACATACAGAGACACACACACGCACGCACACACACACACACACACAGAAACACACAGACACACACACAGACATGCACGCACAAACGCACGAACACACACACACATACAGAGACACACACACACTCACGCACACATACACATACAGAGACACACACGCACGCACACACACACAGAAACACAGACACGCACGCACACACGCACGCACACACACAAACACGCACGCACACACACACGCACACAAACACGCATGCATGCACGCACACATACACACAGACAGACACACACAAACACGCGCACACACACACACACACAACACACACACACACACACACACGCACGCACACACACACACGCACGCACACACACACACACAACACACACACACACACACACACACGCACGCACACACACACACACAGAAACACACACACATGATTCACTAATGTCTTTTTTTTCTTCTGTTTTCCTTTTAAATCTGCTTCATCAAGTTTAATGATGTTTATTCTGTTGTTCTGATCTACACGTGTATTTGATCTTCTTTTTCTTGTAAAGCACTTTGAGTCAGTCATGTGTGTGTGTGAAACCTGCAGCAGAAATAACCTCGCCTGCTTAATTGAATATTCTGTCCAGTTCAAGTTGTCAAACTCATTAAGTCCATGATAAAGCTGCATATGATGAGTGTCTGAATGAATATCAGCTGATTTCAGATCTGTACATGGCTTTATTTATCTTCTCTCCGTGTGTGTTTGCTCACCCGGTCTTGTCCCCGAAGTGCTGCTCCAGCTGGGCTCTGCTGAACCGGGTCAGATCTCCCATGTTCTCCACACTCAGAGTCTCCGTGATGGACGAGCCCAGCTTCCCTCCCAGATTACGACTGAGCACAACATACACATGTGGAAACACACGTGTTCATGAGGTACAGGCAGTGCTGGGTGTGCTTATCTAAAACCACTGACTATAATTAAATACTTATTCACTGAGAAATAAAGCGAGGCAGTACTGTTCAAGTCACTGAAGTCATTCGAAGAGGAATTTTACTGACATGATTAGCGATCACTTACATTTTGCTGATGGGAAGAGTGCTGAAGAGTTGAGGAACGGAGCTCAGCGGCAACACGGTTTGGCGATTGGGTTTGTTTAGTCCGCATGCCAGCTTGGCCAACACCTGAGAGACAAACCCAGAAACATTAGAGTTCAATGAAAACAAAAACCAACATACAGTTCATCAGTCTTCACATTTAAGATGGAGAGACTGATTATAACTGGGAATAAATGTAGTATAAACATGTCAAACAGCAGGCAGCGACGTCAACAAATCACTGTGGAGAATGAAGCAACAGATACTAGCCAACGGTTTCAACTTTAGCAGAATTTCTGTGTGTGTGTTTATGTGTGTGTGTTTTTGTGACATATCAGGACACAAATCTGTATAATGACATGGGTATGACACAGGTATTACAAAAAGCAGGTGAAATATGGGGACATTGGTGACGTCCTCATTACTCAAAAAGCTTATAAATCACACAGGATGAGTTTAATCAGAGAGTAAAGCTGCACACTGACTCCTGTGATGATTAGGGGTGGGGTGGGGTGAGGGCAATACAATATACGGTTTGAACAGTATAAAACAGTACAAAAACAAACGTGTGTGTGTGTGGCCAGTTTGTTGTGATTGTTTTTAACATATAGAGAATGCAATAAATTACTTTCATATTTCAAGGTGCAAAGTGTCAACTTATATTCTCAATACAAGTCAATTAATCTTAAAAAGTTGTAAAAATTCCTTAGTAATTAAAAGGATGACAAATGAGATAATGAAATTTGTAAATTACATATTTATCATGCAGGTGTGGATTGATGTTTGCATTTTAAACACACACACACACACACACACACACACACACACACACACATATACAGTTGAGGTCAGAATTATTAGCTCACCATTGCATTTTTTTTGTTTTTTAATATTTCCCAAATGATGTTTAACAGAGCAAGGAAATGTTCACAGTATGTCTGATAATATTTTTTCTTCTGCAGAAAGTTTTATTTGTTTCATTTCAGCTAGAGTAAAAGCATTTTTATTTTTTTAAACACCATTTTCAACTCAATATTATTATCCCCTGTAAGCTATATTTTTTCTAGATCGTCTACAGAACAAACCATCATTATACAATGACTTGCCTAGTTACCCTAATTACCCTAGTGAAGCCTTTACATGTCACTTTAAGCTGTATAGAAGTGTCTTGAAGAATATTTAGATGTCATGATGACAGTAAATAATATGAGACTAGATCTAACCATCTAGACTAACCATCGGCGCAATACCGCTCTTTGTTATGAGACGCAGTTTCAGTGTAAACTTAGTAAAGGCGAGCTTCTTTGGCGATGATATGAACAGTATTAGATTTGACTTTTAGCGGACATTTGCGCTGAACACGCAGTGAATGCAAAGCATGGAGATTCGGGCGCCTTCTCCAAGAAGCGCGTAATCGATTGATCTCAGCTAGCGGATCATTATTCACCACGTGACGTGTCATGATCGCTCTCATCTGCGCCTCAACTTTAGGTGGGGTTTGCAAACCTGTGTGCTTTAAGTTTTTACTCTTCAGCCGTTTGCATTTCCCGTGGTCATCAAGCTCCTTCCCTGTCATCTGACAGCGGAATACCTTGAGGGATTGACAGCTAATATGAACCAATATAGCGGCAGGGAAGAGCGATTCAGCACGTTTTTACAAAAAAATCAAAACAGGTCGCACTACAACCATTATCAGCAGTCGCACTAATGCGCCCAAATATACTATGAGGTCGCATAGATTAATTTTCGGGCGCATATGCGACCAAAATGGTCGCAATTTCGAGCCCTGTTATATATGCACACATATTTCAAAATGCTGCAAACAAATCCGAGTTTGCATGTTCATTTGCAATAATTACAACAACAAATACGCACATATAATTTGATATACAGTATATGTTCATATTGAGTCATGTATTAGATTTCTGTATGTATCAGACAATTAAAGGCCATAATTGCAATTATTTTAAACAGCTTGATACAATAAGGGAATCATGCTGGGTTTGGGTTTATATAGCTTATTTTGCGCTTCATGACCACGACTGAACACCCGCTAACTGTAAATGTAGAAAGAGACGTAGAAATTCTCTTATATCCACCTTGTTGTGTGAGATACCGGCGGAGCAGCGAAACCCGGTGTGTTCCTCCACAGCAGCCCTCATCTGCTCCACTATCAGAGCCCCGACGGCCAGACGCAGATCCGCAGGTGAAGATTCAGTGCTGGAGGACAGAAGATCCAGCCACTGCTGCAGACCTGCGGCCCGCTGCGCATCTGCACAAACACAACACACAGCGGTGGGAAGAGGATGAGGAAACAGCTCACTCAAGTAAAAGTACCATTACATTACACAGAAAACAAGATTTAAAGATTTTCCACTTGACTAGATCTTAATTAAGTCATTCAAACATCTCTTGAAGCCTCTCTATAGGTTTACTCCAGGGGTGTCCAATCTCGGTCCTGGAGGGCCGGTGTCCTGCAGATTTTAGCTCCAACTTGCCTCAACACACCTGCACGGATGTTTCTAGAAAGCCTAGTAAGAGCTAGCCCAGGTGTGTCTGATTGGGGTTGGAACTAAATTTCGCAGGACACCGGCCCTCCAGAACCGAGTCTGGACACCCCTGGTTTACTCTCTACTGGACAGTTGGTCTCGAGCATCCGCCATTTTTGTAGTTTGTTTACACTTTTCCCCTGAATTTGTAGTTCTAATTGAATTCACATGGAGGGTGGGGACGTAACGGTATCAAAATGACGGTATTTACAATAGCGTTACATCCCTAATGGTGGGCAATATTAGCAGTTAGAGTAGGGACATCTCTACACTTCACATTTCTACCAGAAATACTAGACCATCTGGACCCTTTGGCGAACTCTATATAGTGTACCAACAATAGTGAAGGGTAAAACTGACCCTGTGTTTACATTTTTGGGTGAACTGTCTCTTTAATACCAGGTGAGAACAGGGCTGACCTCTGTCCAGGTGTGTGTTCTCCTGCTGTGTAGGGAAACCCTGAATGTGTGTGTTCTTCAGCTGCTGCGCCGTGATGTCCTGCACACTGGTGTTCTTCAGGCGCTCCTGAACGCTGGCCGTCAGGTCCATATAGGCCTCGTCAATGCTGGCTCTCTCGATCACAGCGAAGCGGGACATCACCTCGATCACCTCCACACTCGCCTCCCTGTAGCTGAAACACACACACACGCGCACACAAACACAAGGTCCAAAAAATACTATGTTAGGGATACATATTAAATAGGGGTGGCACAGTGGTTAGCACTAAGGTCACTGGTTCGAGTCCCAGCTGGGTCAGTTGGAGTTTCTGTGTGGAGTTTGCATGTTCTCCAAGTGTTGGCGTGGGCTTCCTCTGGGTGCTCCGGTTTCCCCCACAGTCCAAACACTATAGGGGAACTGATGAATTAATGTGGCCATAGTGTATGAGTGTATGAGTGTGTGTGTGTGAGTGTGTTTGTGTGTGTGTGTTTGTGTGTTTGTGTGTGTTTGTTTGTGTTTGTTTGTGTTTGTGTTTGTGTGTGTGTGTGTGTGTGTGTGTGTGTGTGTGTGTGTGTGTGTGTGTGTGTGTGCGAATAAGTGTGTATAGGTGTTTCCAAGTGGGTTGCTGCTGGAAGGGCATGGGCTCCATAAACAATATGCAGGGATAGTTGGTGGTTCATTCCGCTGTGGAGACCCCTGATGAATAAGGGGACTAAGCCGAAGGAAAATGAATAAATGATAAATATTAAATAAAAGATTCATAAACAGGATCCCAGTCACAATTTAAATGTATTTTATTTGGATTCCTAAAGATATTCGGTGACCAAACTCTTAATTTAATGCATGTATCTGATTAATCAAACTGTTTAGTTTAAATGCACCAAAACATATTGGCTATATTTATTGAAAAAAATGATAAATAAAAATAAAAATGTGCTTTTTTCAAAGGAGGTGTGCTCATTTATGCTGAGCACTGTGCGCTTTTAATTATTAGAAACACAAATAGACATAATTAATATGTCTTATATCTGACATGGAGTTCTGTATGGGACTATTCATTGCAATTAATCGCAATAAATTCTTTGACATTTAATCTTCATCTAAATTGTAATTAGAAAGTAATAACTGTTGAAGTGGCTCTGAGAATAAACAGCTCTTACTGTGTGAGATCCGCCTTCCCGTGAGCCTCTGGGACCCGAGCCACCTGCAGATCTGGACACAGCTTTCTGGCATCATCCGCGAACATGTTCCTGCCGACTCCATGAGCTCTGGCCTCGTAACTCACCGCTATAATGCTGGACACAGTAATCACAGCACTTTAACACAGATCCTCTGAGGAAGACTGAGGTCCAGTTGGCTTTATTTTCACACAAGTGTTCATTTTAATGCTCTCTATAGTGTTTACGGCTACTTTAAATGTTGGGTCTGAAATTCAAAACAACATCAGCACTATTTATTATTATTATTATTAACTGACTAAACAATGTTGTGCTTTGATATTCACTGAATATATTCTGAATGTGTGAATATAAAGCCAATGTTTACCTCATTATCACATTATCAGCCGGTGGCTATCAAAATACAACACTGATCACAGTCAGTAAATAGTGCTGATGTTGTTTTTACTCATACTTACATGCTGTTTCACACCCAATATTCAAAATACCATGGTAAACTATACAGGGAGGGTGTCAGGAGTCGTCACTGAATGAATGTGCAAATATAAAACCAACTTTACCCCAATAAAGATTACTATAGTATATTTGTAATGTAGGTCGGTAACATTACTAAACTAATAAAATGCATTACACATGTCTTTTTAAATCATGTATTTGAAATCTGTAGTGAAATAAAGCTCCCAGCTCTGATTATAATGTATATTTCTGCTTATATCTGTGCTGTTTTGCTCATTTCTGAGCAGTTTTTCTGTCAGTTTTCTATTGGGGTGAAGTTGGTTTAATATGCTGAAGCATTAATTGAGTATTTTAAATGCTCTAATATACAGTATAATACACTTTACTAAAGCATAGTTAAAAATTGCTATAGTATATTAGTGATGTAGGACGGTACTTAACTTGACAGAATACATTACAAATTACTTTTTAATGAATGTATTTTGTGATAACGAAGTAAAGCTGGTTATATGTTAACACATTTGCTCATTTCTGAACAGTGACAACTTGTGAAACGCTAAACTTAATATTTGGTCTGAAATAGCATGCAGGTCTGACTTCACAATGACATTATCATTATTTTATTGACTATAAGCAGTGTTGTACTTTGATATTCACTGACTGATAATGTGATTTCCCCATTTATGGTTTGCAAAAAACACTTTTCTGAAATTATATGATGAATATAAAGCCAACTTTTACCTCAATATCACATTATCAGCCGGTGGCTATCAAAATACAACACTGATCACAGTCAGTAAATAGCGCAGATGTTGTTTTTACTCATACTTACATGCTGTTTCACACCCAATATTCAAAATACCATGGTAAACTATACAGGGAGGGTGTCAGGAGTCATCACTGAATGAATGAGTGAAAATAAAACAAACTTTATATTAAGGAGAAAGTCTGAATGTGTGCAAATAAAACCAACTTTAGCCCAATTAAAATTACTGTAACTGTATATCTGCGATGCAGGACATTACTAAACGTGACTAATCTAACGGAATACGCTACACATGTCTTTTTAAAGTATGTATTTTGAGATCTGTAGTGAAATAAAGCTCCCAGCTCTGGTTATATTGTATATTTCTGCTTAAATCTGTGCTGTTTTGCTCATTTGTGTGCGGGTTTCTGTCAGTTTCCTCACCCTCCGCCTTTCCAGGTCTTGTACTGCGCCACAACGCAGGGTTTGTTCTTCAGCTCGGGCTTCAGTCTCTGCTCCACCTGCACATAGAAGCAGTCCATGTCCACCAGCGCGACCACTCGCTCCTTCCCGAAATCCATCAGCGTGAGATCATAAATCTGGATTATTATGAAAGTCTGTCTGTGTTATGGAACTTCCTGGTGTTCTCCGCGGGTAAAGCTCGAGCTCTTCTTCTTCGTCTGTCTCTGTGTGGAGCAGCGCGAGTGTGATCTGCGCACTGCCCTCTGGCGCACTTGAAAATAAATATTGAGTTAAATTATTATTTTTATAGTTAAATATTTTTACATTACAGCGAGGGTTTAGGTAGGGATAGTCAGAAGTCAATAAAATACAATTCATGAATAATTTATTAAAATAATATAAATAACTGACATTAACAGGTATGCCATTCTCACGGGTTGTTGCTAGAAGGGATACAGCTGCTGACAGAAGTTAACGAGAACTGTTTATTAAATTAAATTAACTACTAATTGCATTTTATTAACGTCCATTTCTACCCAACACTAAACCCAACCCTCATTGTAATGTAAAAACACTAACTATAGCAAGAATTATTAATATTAATTATTAAATTACCCGTTCATTGTATTTCATTAACATCTACCGCTAAACCCAAACCTCACAGTGATGTAAAACAGTAATTATACAGAGTATTATTAATAATATTTAATAAATTATCCATGTAATTGTATTTTAATAACACCAACCCCAACCCACAGTAATGTACAATTATATTATACCGAGTATTATTCATATTATTTATTAAATTACCTATTAAATTGTATTTTATTAATGCCCCAACCCTAAACCCATCACAGTAACGTAAAAAAACGTAATTATACGGAGTATTTTTCATATTATTTAATAAATTGCCCATTAGATTGTATTTAATATCTATTCTAAACTAATCTATTATATTGTCTATACATAAGTAAATACTCTAAAACACTCTATATCTAAAATGCTCTGGTGATTAATCCATAAAATATTATTTCTATATACATATACTCCATCTAAACACAAAAATACTCTGTATCTGGGGATGGAGACATGAAATACTCTATATCTACATACTGTATCTGGTATACTGCATACTGTATCTACCATACTGTATCTGGTGATACATAAACTTTATATTTACTCTCTATATATCTAAATACTCTAAAATACTCTATATCTGGGGATTGATACTCTAAATCACTCTATATCTACTCTGGGATACTCTCTCTCTCTCTCTCTCTCTCTCTCTCTCTCTCTCTCTCTCTATATATATATATATATATATATATATATATATATATATATAGCTAAATACTCTAAAATACTCTATATCTACTCTGGGATACTCTCTCTATAATATCTAAATACTCTAAAATACAAATGTTTGGGTATTGATACTCCAAATACTCTAAATGTATCTGTAAATACTCAAAAATATTTTAAGATTATGTTTATAAATAATATATTAAAAAAAAAAATATATATATATATATATATATATATAATAAATATAAAAATGTTTTGATTGAAGTGTCAAAAGAAAGGCAGACTGCCACATGCAGTGCCTCATTTGGATGTGTCTGAAGTCTTGGAGCTCGACTTCCCTACGTTTCGCCTACAAATGTTGCCTTGAGCTTGTTTGGAGGTTCTAGCAGGGGAGCGCAGCTACTTCTATACCAGCGATGCTCGTGTCCGCCGGGGGAAACTCGTCCTCTTCCACCGAGCGCGGAGCTTCGGGAGGGACACACGTGGAGCGGTGAGGGAGGAAGGGGACACCCGCCTAGCCAGCCAGATCAGCCGAATCAACCCTAGCGATCAATGGGGTGACAGATGTCGCAGCCAGATCGCCCTCACATCCGAATACAGAGCGGTGGGCGAGTCGTTATAAACGACGCGTCTCAGCTACAGTTTACATCAGCGGTAACATAAAACTGATCATAACTGAATATTATTATTAATAGTGAACCTATACATAATTATAATTAACATCCTGTGCTTGACTTTGTTTAGAACTGTGTATTTAATGATTTATAGCGGTTTAAAGAGCTTACAGGGAATTTCCCAGAATGCTTCGCTGTTATGGAAAAAATAAAGAGCTGCTATTGGATGTACGTCACGGGTACGTTCTGTTTACGCTGAACTGCGTCACGGAAGCGCAAGGAAAAGTGGATCGAAGAGGGTGTATATGGAATTAATATGGTTTTATTTGACAAATTTTATAGGACAGATAATTATAAACATCTTTTACATGTTTTTAATTGTTGATTTGTTATATGTAGACTGTCAATGTAATGTATAACAGTAATTGCAGAAATGGAGATAAGTTAGTCTAGAAGAAAAAAGCGAACTGTGCCTCACAAACGAGATTGTATGTAAATTTGTTAATCTTAATTCAAATTGTGTCGTCTGTTACTCAAGTATCAAATCGATTGATCGTCTTTTTGTCAAATGCCCACATGTTAAACTTTGTTGGTCTGATTTATCCATCAAAATGGCAATTTAACATTGATGTTTCCATGTGTGATAATTACTTTTCTCATGACAAACATAACAGAATTGATGTTGAACACGAGACAAGATATTCTAATCCGAAGAATGTTTGAACAAAGCTGGCGATGGCAAAAAAAAAAAAATGCTTCTAAATCATTATATTTACACACATCTCAATTCTGTGTACCAGGGGCGGACTGGGACAAAAATTCAGCCCTGGTACTGTAGCCCCACCAGCCCACAGTACCACACCGATACAGCACCACCGGCGGACACGCACATTCACTACTAATATTGGTGTACAGATGCTGAAATAATATAAGCAGCACCATATGTAATAAATATTTATACTGTGACTGGATCAAAAACAACCCATTTATAACAAATAGTAAAACATGCAGTCTGTATACCCTAAATACCGTTATCTGCTGATAATGACATTTTAAAATGTACTGGAGTTCTACGCTAAGCTTACAACTGTTAAACACTGTAGGTTACCGTCAAAAACTGTCAGGAGTAGCGTGAAAATTACATAGTATATTTTAGTATAATGACTTGTATATAAGTATATTTTCTGTTTTCCTCTTACCTCCTCTACCATGCTACTGTCCTCCGATGCAAGATTTCAGTTACTTTTATGCATTTATAGTGTTTAATTTTAGAGCCCTTTTTTAATTAGCACTTACTGTTTGTTTGAAATTCTGCCAGATTTTAATTCCGTCCGCGTAACCTCTGATTGGGTCGGCCCATCTGAAAACCAGCCAGCCGATGCGATTTGGGACAAATGCTAAACATTTATTATTATTATTACTATTATCATCATCATCCTATTCACATCTTGCAAGAGATAAAATTTGCCTGCACGTAAAAAACAATACATATTAAAAAAACATTTAAAAAATGGTCCGGCCCTTCTGGCATTTGCCGGATTTGTCAGATGGCCTATCCGCCCCTGCTGTGTACATTATTTAGCCGACTGTGATTTTGTGTGATTTTATCTTTCTGGTGTTTGCCGCTGTCAGTGGAGCAGTCCAGCGAACTGACAAAGAAAGCTGAATCTGATTGGTCCTCATGCGTGCATTAAAACACAGAAAGAAGCTGATAGAGCCAAGCTAGAGGTCGACTTTGTAGATAAACCGTTTTTGTTTTTAAATAAAAAGTCCTAAAATGTAAACAACTTATATAAAAAACACCACATCACGTAAATAAGTTGTCATTTAATAAGAATTTGCCAATAACCTAATTTTGACAAAAATGTCAGACAGAACCTTAAAACTCGGAGGTGACGATATGTCGTTTCAATCATGACCGTGTTATAATGTGCCTCTGGATGAAAGCGTCTGCTCAATATCTGTATTTTGATGAGTCACTTTAATAATGGGATTAGTCATGCAGTAAAGATCATCATAGGCTGTATGAAGGCTTTATGGCTGTATAATGACAGAGCACTTTTTTATCTAAATTAGTCTGTAATGAACGTGCAGAAATGAACGTTTTATAATCACTCAAGCATTTTAATTTTTATATTTTACACTTGCTCGGTGTTTAACTGCAGAAACTGATCTGCACTGTGATCGTGTGCCAGAAATGCTTAAATATGGGGATCACTGACATCAGCAATGCTGGAGTTTGGGTTAGCTAAAGTGAAAATACACACTGCGTCATCATGAGACTGTGTGTTTATGTGTGTGTGTGTGTGTGTGTGTGGTGCAATGGGTTGTTGTAAATCAGTGTTGGGTCAAATATGGACAAACCCAACAGTATTGGGTTAAAATGTTTCATTTAAATGTAATTAAAATTTTAATAATAAACAAAAAGTTGCACCATTGGTTTTCTGGGTACACCGCAGCATCTACTGAGAAGCTCTAGCGATGGAAAACATGCCAGATGAGCTTTTATCTGTGCTTAATGACTTAAATTGTCAACTTCATAAAAGCTTGTGCATTATATTCACTCATTTTATTATTTTAATTTTAATCACGGACACAGAAAATATGTGTGTTTAGTTACTGTAGTTAAAAATGTGGAGTTTAATCGGAGAAAGGGGTGCACACAGCAGAAAGTTTGGGATAGACAATATAATGGACTATAGAGAGAGATTTGTTTTACTATAGTTTAAAATAGCTAAGGTGAAGCAGTGGCGCAGCATGTAGTGCTGTCGCCTCACAGCAAGAAGGTCGCTGGGTTACTGGTTCGAGCCTCGGCTGTGTTTCTGTGTGGAGTTTGCATGTTCTCCCTGTGTTGGCGTGGGTTTCCTCCGGGTGCTCCAGTTTCCCCCAGATGCGGTACAGGTGAGTTGGGTTGGCTAAATTGTCCGTAGTGTATGAGTGTGTGTGTGGATGTTTCCCAGAGATGGGTTGCAGCTGGAAGGGCATCCGCTGCGTAAAAACGTGTAAAAAAATAAAGGGACTAAGCCGACAAGAAAATAAATAAATGAATCAAATAGCTAATCATAATACAACTATAATAAAATACTGATCACAATATTATAAGGTTACAAAGAAAAAACCCACAAGGCACAATTTCATCACTAAATATTTGCAAAGATCTCAAGAATATCTACATCCATACACTTATCATGTTTACAATCAATTAGGAGTCTTGCTTGTGTGCTTTAACCTTTGTCCTGACGTCTATGCAGTCCTGGATTAGTGTTATTCTC